TTTGTCCCCCTAGTTGCCCCCCTTTACTCGGTTAGCTAAGCCTCGTTCGGAGAGCGTACCAGGAAATTTTCTCGAGTTTTCTTAAAAAGCTATCACGGTATAACCGGAAGGTTTGCACGTTCCTGTCGAACCGTACCGCCGGTACTCTAGAATGGGCAATCAGCCCGAAGCTGTCTCAAGTGGGTTCGACTCCGTAGTCTTGATGTCGTAAACACCCAGGAGCGCCATAAAAACACTATGTAACATTCGTCTACTACAGTCACACATGAGGCTTAAGAAAAATAGGCCCTATAACCACTGGCTCAAGGGTCAGGGACACTATCTCTTGTGTTTTTCTACCTCAAGAACGGTCGGAGCCAGTTCGGTTCGCTTGTGACATGAGACTACGACCCGTTACAGCTTAAAGGCTACTACTAAAATATCCCCCCACTCTAGAATTAGAAACGTCCCCATACTTAGGTCTCTAGATACCCAAAATACATGAACGCCGTTAAAAACCGGGTTGGAACAATCCGTTAGGTTACTTTTTATTAGACAGTGTAACTTTGATCCATTTCAGATGGATCAACCTAAAACTCGCCTTACCTCAACATAACAATTGTAAAACACACTCTAGAAATTTAAATTAAGGACTCACATGTTGATGCGCTCAAGCACAGGAAGTAATTAAATGGGTGAGCAACTCTAGAATTAACTAAGGTAACTAGATAAATTCAATGTTTATCAGTTTGAATGGTAAGGGTAAGTTTGAACTCAAGAACGAAGTTTTATGTGGACCATTGGGACACTCAAGCTGTCCACCTTTCCGTCGAAGGTTCACTCTGGTCCAGTTCGAATAATTACTCTCTCGGGAATACTCTGTCTTCTATTTCAGATAGGACAGCTCTACTCTTGTTCACTATGATGGAAATTGCGAATAGCAATTTCCCACTCGTTTTTATCTGACAACTTTCCCGCAATTGTTCTAAAATTGTTCTCCTTTCTTTTTCTGATTTTCAGTTATCGCGAGAAAATCGTGCATGACATGTTCCATTCGAAATTTTGAAAAATTAAATTTCACTACAAAATCAAGTGTTTTCTGCTCTTCTCAAGGTCAAACTTCCAAATATGACCGACTGGCACATGCAACAAGAAGAATTGCTGTAGGACTGAAGGACGCACCCCTGAAGCTGAAAGGATAAAACTAATTGGACATAATCAGCAGAATTCTATGGTGCTGACAATAGGAGAGACTAAAATAGTCAAGGATAGTAGATGCAGCAGGATACTGAAGTGTTTGTCGGAAAATTTAACGCAAAAGCCAAGATGAAACGTTGAAAGTGAATTGTTGATGAATGGTAAAAATCGAGGTTTGATTGACTTTGGGAAACTGTGGGAAGCCAATTCGGACCGTCTGCTTGAATCTTGTAGGTTACCGTGAATTGAGTTTGACATTCCAGATCTTTGGATTGTCTTGAATGCTCGTTTGGAGTTGAAATACTGTGTAGAGACTGGCAACTAGAAGATTAGTAAATGGGAGATCATTAGAAACTGATAAAATTAGGATCAAAAGCTTGACCAGTCCTGGAGAAAATGGCTTGCGTACTTTTTTAACCAATAGATAGGAACGCAAGCTAACTTATCCTTTCTGATCGCAAATCTCTTTGCGAATAATAGTGGTCAGAGTTTGTTCAGCTGGTGTTTGACATGACCATGAAAAATGATGTTTAAGATCATAAGACGAGTAAACCAACAGCCACGTAGCAGTTGGTAATTGAGTAGACTGTCTTTCTTAGTGTAAATCAGAGTGGTTTATTCATTGCACGAAGAAGAGATGCGATGTTTGTCCTGAGTTATATAGTCAGGGGTTTGAATGAGTAGGCTACAGCCATAGAAAAAGGAAATTGAGAGTTACATGAGTAAACTTAAACGATTTACCCAATATATCTAAAAAGAGCTTCCTGTCACAAATAGGAAGACGAGAAAAAGTAAAAGATTCGCGGTTAAGAAGATGGAAAATAACTTGACCTCAACGAGCTTCTTCAGTTATTAAAAATGCCTAACATAGTTCTTTCCTATCCATTTTGGTGGGATGTGGGTACAATGAGAGCTATTTGCTAGGCAAGTATTACAGAATTTAGCCATTAAGAGTCAATGAACGTAGTTTCAAGTTTTTTTTTCAGGAAGAGTCATAATAATTGTTCACGCTCAAATTTGATTTTTCCCGAAAAAACTTTGCTCAAAGGATGACTGAAATTTTGGCCATCTCTACTTTCGCCTACGAAAAGAAAGATGGAGAAAAGACAGTTTTGAAGTATTTAAAAAAAAAAAAATTTCTGCTCTTTGTTCGGCTGTAAAGTTTCCATCTTATAATATATCGGCTTACAGGCTTTTTTGAGAAGTTTGAGGAGAAAGTTTTTTTTCAAGACAAATTGAGGATAATTTCTGGTTGATTAATTTTTTCGATTTTGTTTCTACGGTTTTCATCTTTATTTTTGTCGGTTAGCTTGTCCTGCTCTGTATGGGTTTTATCACATGAAGCGAAATAGTTCGCGTTGCCCCTCTTGGTTAAATTTTGTAATTCCTGTCCTGATATTTATGCAAATTTTTACACAAATGAAGCGTAGTGTTTTATTACGAAGATTTTTACCTTAGTCGCAAAGACAAGTGCTCTTTTGCTTGCACGTTTGGTTTATATCAATTTAGAAGCTTATGCTGCTTCCTTAGTTTTGGCTAGTGTTAGGTTCTATTTGAAAAAACAAACAGGTAATATGAAAATGAATGGGATTCGTTATTTTATATATTTTTTGCGACGCTCTGTAAAATTTTTGTACTTTACACAAATTTCAATTTTGTTCAAAAACTACTGTTCTGATTTTCAAAAAAAATAGTACAAATGGAAAAATCGGCCGCTCTTCTATTTGCCTATATATTTCGCTAGTCCCTTTTTTTGCCCCACGTTCTGCGGCATTTAAATGTTTCAGTAGGGGGGTTTTTGACCTAATTGTTTTCAATTTTCTCAAATATTAAAAGCACAAATCCGAGATGAAAGTTTCAATCAGAAGAGCAAATCTTGGCACTTTTTTCCTTCTCAAGCGGCTTTTCCCTAAATTCGGTAGAAAAAAGTTGGGGCCGCAAACATACCCATTTTTTGACATTTTGGTTAATTTAATTTTTTTTTCGAACACTAACATGCGAAATTGTAGATTAAGGATTCAACCGAAAGCAAAAAAACCAGTTGTGTGACTTTTTGCGCAAAAGTTTATGCCTTACGTTTTGTAAAAAAATGAATATCATTAGAAAAGGTCCAATTTTTAAAGTGTTGCCGGTTTTTTGAAAACTTTTTCCCCCAAAACTAACCTGCCGATTTTGAGGTTGATAGTTTATCAAACTGACATGATGCTTAGATTTTGCCTGCAAAATCTCTTACACCTTACTTGTTCGTAGAAAAGCCGATAAAGACTTTTTTGAAGTTTTTACGGTTTTTCTTTGTTCCGAAATTTTATCACTTTTCTCAAACTACTAGCTACATCTGATACCAAGGGTTTAGTCTAAAATTTAGGGTGTGAAAATTTCCCCTGCATAAAAGGTTTTTCCCATGCTTTAGTAGAGAAAAGTTTTATGGATTTAGGAAATATCAAATTTTGAATGTTTGATAATTTTTTGGAATATTTTTCAATGTTTCGAAAACTACCCAGCCAAATCTGAAAGAAAGATATTACTTGAAAGAGATAGTAGTAGTTTGGTTCTTCAAATAAGCGGCTAATCCCCTACTTACGCAGAGAAATCACTGGGTTTTGTGTAAAGTCCTTTTTTAAAATTATTAAAATTGCGCATTTCGGTATTAGTACAAAATCATAAAAAATAATTTAAAAGGCGCATTCAGCATTAGCTGGGCCATTATTTCGCTTCCAAGCAACCGTGGAGCAGATGACAGGACGTGAGACTTGAAATCAATAGGTCAGAGATTTTTATCCGGAACATTGAAATAAATATTTTTTGGTCGAATTTTTGCTACATAGTATTGGCAATTAAATAGAAACTGTAGCTGCTTTATTGGTGGCTAATAATAGTAAAATTACAAGCGACCCTAAAGCAGATATGAGAACGTTATACCTAATCTCGGCAAAAATCTCAAGTGGTATATTTAGTCTTTTCTTTCTGTCTTATTTGATTTTGTTTTGCCTGTTTGGAGCTCTTTTTTTTGCATTTCCTCGCTTGTATTTTCCAAGCGCAGCTTCGCCTTTGTGTATATTTTTGGGAAAATATCGAAGTTTTTTGCTCGATTTGTTGGTCCATTTGCAAGTAGTGAGAGTCATTCATTTTTCTATCGCTAGTAGCGGGAAGCTCTGCTTTGCAACTGTTTAAAAACTGGCAGTTTTTTTCAGTTTCCTTGATTCTTTTCCAATTGTCTGTTGGCTATTTTTTTTTTTTTTTAAAAATTCAAAAAAGGAGAAAAAAAACTCATTTTTTTCAAACAAATTATTGCAAATACTTCTTTAGTTTTGCGTAGTTAAAGTAAAGGGCAACTACAGTAGGTGCAAAATTCTGAAAATTAGATCAAATAATTACGAAATTAAAGTTAAAATTGATTTATAATCAAGGCATGTTTAAATGGAGAGGTCAGCCTTCTATTATTAGCTCTTTGTTATTTTAGTATGAAAACTGAAAATGCTCAGGCCAGTGTTCTCAACACTGAGGCAACGTTTTATATATTTTTTTCTAAGAGTCTTATTCAAGACTAATAGCGCTTCAATGTGATACCATATTTGAACCCCAATGAGCTTTTTACCTGGCAGTTCAAATGAGTTGGTGTGTGATGGAAAAAAATAGACAAAGCAACATCAACATCTTAATAGACAATATAGTGAATGCGAGGAAACATTTACAACCTACAACATTGTTCCTCCGCGCTCCTTGGGTGGTCGGCTGAACAAAATTAATTTTAATAAGGGATTATTTGTCTATAGAATTAGTTTTGAACCGATGTCGATGTCTTCTTTTTTATTTTGATCGAAAATTGCTCTTGAGAAATAGATCACTATTTTATCGCAGTGCAAGTTTTATCACTGAGCAAATTTACTTAGGCTCATTACTGTGTTGACAAGAAATTAGATTCTTCTTTGGCCCGCATAGACCACAAGCTGGCATTGAGATAAGACCAGGATCTACCACAAAGCATAAAGACATTGTATAATTCGAAGATTCGCCCAAGCGTAGCTCTTCGTATTTTATTTGATTGAGAACTACTTCGCTTGGTTAAGCTCTTAGAATATGAAGGAAATCAATGAAAGTTATTACATATGTAAGTATTTTTTAGAAGTTTAGAATAGATATGACGTTAATATTTAGTTCTCTTTTGACCCAGTGGATGAACTAGAGTAATATCTGTAGTGATGACGTTTTATATGATAATTGAAATAAATTTTGATAATTAATTAAATAAAATAAGTCGTTACTTTTTTGGCAAATAGGAATTGTTGTTCTCAGTTTTTGTTTCTGGAAACTAGACTTTACCAGCTATTTTTGATAAAAGAATGCACCACGATATAAAAATTTCAAAATTTGAGCAATTTTAAACGGTAAATAAGCGGCCTCATATTGCGTCGTTTGATGACCGAAAAAAGTTTTTGTGTGCGTGTGTGTGTTTTTAACGGGAGAGGATTGAAAATTTTTTATAAGTTTTCCAGTCTTTTTGAATTTTCGTCTAAAAGGGTGTCTGATCAGTTTCTATTTTCGGCTTTGTTACCGCTTGATAAGGCTTCTCCCGATGCTGATCGCACTTTCAATTGTTCTTTCATTTTTTTTATAAATAGTTTTATTCATGTTGATCGATTCAGTTTATTGTATTTTTTTCACAAATACGGGGCTTTCTTGTATTGTATTGCAAGTGGTGCGAAAATGTTTGAACCATTTATTTTAGATTTCTACGTGCCAGTAGCATGGTGTCTGCATATTTCGCACGGAATGATGAACACGGTTATTGGGCCCAGTCAACTATACCTTGCTCGAAATGTGGGCTTGGAGTTGAGTCAGATCAATTTCGTCTGGACTTTTGGCTTCATCGGATTTGTCCTTGGAAGTTTCACAAGTAGGTAACGACTAATTGTTCTCCAGACCTCTCAGTGACGCAGAAATAGGGGGAGAGTTATCAGATCGATAGCTTTGGGCTAGTCTTAAAAGCGATGTGAGTTGTTAGAACTCGTTATTACGCAGGTTGCGGGTAAGCTGGAGTTCGACTTTGGACAACAAGCAACTTGCATCTTACTCTTACACTTCTTTCACTTGTACTCAATTAACCAAGTACCTTGTAATAATTTACCCGGTGGTTGAAGTTATGACTTGCTAAATTTCGCATAAGTTCAAATTTAGTTTCCCTTTTCCACGTGATATCTAGAATTTTACCGTTATAATGGGTAAGTTATGTACCAACTCTTCAACTCTGATGAAATTCAGTTTTCGATTTACAAGTTTGATTGATTTTTTTCAGCTTGACGGCATTTGGCTGTTTTCTATCGCCTTAGATCCTAGGAGCCTCATATTATGTCATTTTACAGCAGCAATTGGAGTTTAGCGTGTGGTTTACAACCGAGCATTTGTTAGGGCGCAAAATCTGAAAAGATTTACAAGAAATATAGATATTACACGGTTTTAAACATTCTGTGAATATATTATCAGCTAGTTTGCTCAATTTTTTAAAGCTCAATTTCACAGCTTGAAAAAATATATAAAATGTTTTTCCATAGAAAAAAGATCTTCCCGGGCAGATTCGATGAACGTAACGTAGTGAATACCCTTATATAGGTCTTGGTGATTTTTCGTTTATTTTTTTTTTCAGGAAAAATACAAGTTTCGTTTACGCTCTTAATTTTTTTTGTAGTTTGATTTCTCTTTGAAAGTTTAATTCATTGTCTTTGTTTAAAGGCAGGCGAACTTCAATATCGAACAGCGAAAGTGTAAAGGTCACAAAAAACGTAATCGAATTCTTATTGCGAAAGTGGATTTTAATTTTCAAATTTCGCAGCGGAATAAAAACTTTACATTATGAAGCAGTTTTCTCAAAATTAATTTAAAAAAAAAGTCAATCATAAGTTGTTCTTTCAAAAAGCTTTTTGGTCATATTTTCATTGACTGTTTGCAACAGTTTGTAGGTTATTTTTTTTCTGCAGAGTGGTTTGTATTCCCTAAGTTTGTATTCGAATTTTTACTTCTTGTTGCAACGTTTCTCTGGGGCCAGATTCAACACTTCGGAAAATTTTAGTTGTTGAAGTTTTATTTACAGTTTGTTCTGTTTACTCTAGCAAGGGTATTTCAATCGGGTACTAGACTTTTTTTCCTCGTAAACAACTTGTCCACAGGATCTTCACTTCTAGAGAATCTTCACTTCTGAGTATCTCTCATCTGACATGCGCAGTTTCCTAAAAATTGAAATAAAAACTATCATTTAGCTAGTAATTACTTGAAGCCCGTTTCAGGTTATAATCTTCTCAAAAAACTGTCTCAATTGTTTTTTCGGGTTCCTGGTTTTTGTCCTAGTTTCTCTCGGTTCAATTTCCATTTTTTTAACGCCATTTTTTTGATTTGGTAGGGTTTTCGTTGGTTTATTTTCTAAAGCATTGGTATTGTTCCAATTTGAAGAGTTTTTACGATAAGTGAAACTTCACAAATTTGTAAATATACCATGTCTGATTTTGAGTTTTTTTTCGTTTTAATTAATATAGCAGTTTCCGTTCATGTTTTGTCGACTTCTTCAACTTTTTTTGCGTAGTTTTGAGGGCAGAATATATCCGTTTGCCACCATTTGTTTCAGTTTGGATGGGTCCTAAATTTAATGAATTTATTTATAACAACAATTTTGTTTTTGCCTCAACAGGTTTCGACACAAAGTTTGCCGCCTTTGTTGCCGCCCGGTGAATGGTTTCCATTTTTAAGGGCTGTTTATGAAATTCATCTGATAGAAATATGAAGTTTTTTGTAGCTGTAATTTTGCAACTTTTGTCAAGTTATTTTATCCAACATATTTATTCATTTTTTTTGCTTTTGTTTGTTTTTCATTCACTATTTTTAGCGCTATGTTTTTTCTGCATTGGAAGTGCTGCAATTTTCCGCTTCGCCTCTGTGTTAATTTATATCTTTTTTCTGATCAGCTGTTGTTCAGTGTTTAATTCAATTACTCTCAATTTTTTTTGCCGCTATCATCTGCTATCAAGAGTCATGAACGCAGTGAATACTCGTTTATAGGTCTTGGTGATTTTTTTTCAGGAAACTTCTTGTCGACTTCTAGTTTCGAAAATGGATTTTAATTTTAAGATTTCCAGCGAAATAAAAAAAATTTACATATTGATCCAATTTTCTCAAACTGGGTTACTTCTATCAAAAACGTGTCAACCATTAATTGATCTTGAAATTCAAAAAGCTCTAAGGCGATAGATTTATTCCTTGTAATTCTAAAGTTGTTTTTCTCGGCGTTTTGTTCTGGCTATTATTCCCCTTTTCAAAATAAATTTCTGCGAATTTCTGAAACACCTCATTGTTTTCATAATTTCAAAAATTATAGTTAGTTTTATATCTGAACTTCCCTTTGAACTTCGAAAAATTTCTGTGTACCTCCAGAAAAAAACTTTTTTAGAGCTTATTTTTTGCTGTTTTTTGTTTCGATTTGTCCATCGGAATTATCGGACATTTTGATATTGTCCTACAATCACAACTACAGAATGATTTAACCTAGGATTTTAGTTTTTTGGTTTCTCAGCGGAATAAACATTTTCCCTTGCACTCGTTTTCTCAATTTGAGACAATTTTAGCAAAAAAGTGCCACTCATAAATTGCTCTTGAAATTCAAAGAGCTTTAAGGCCATATATTTTCCCCACTTTCAAAACTCTTTTCAACTGTCTGCTGGCTATGCTCTTTTTTTTTACCAGGGCAGTCATCTGTTGAAAGTAATAAAAAACAAGCACGAAAATAAATAGAAAAGCAGTTTCTGAACTAGTAGCATAGAAATATATGACAGTTGTTAAGAGTGATGAACGTGGTGAGTACTCTTATATAGGTCTTGCTGATTTTTTTTTGGTTTTTTGTTACAGGAAAAAGTCCTAAAGATTGTGCACGCTCGTTTTGATTTTTCGCCGTTTGACTTATGGTTTTTTTTTATGTTCAGTACATTTCCATTGTTAAAAGGAAGGTTAACTCGAAAAGCAAAAGTGTAAAGATCACGAAAAACGTGATCCACTTCTGATTTCGAAAATGGAAATTCTCTAGTTATCAAATTCTCTAGCGGAATAAAATTTTTACGTATTGATCCAGTTTTCTCAAATTGGGTTAATTTTAACAAAAAAGTGTCCATCATAAGTTATTCTACATATTCCAAGAGCTTTAAGGCCATCTATTTTTTTTCTTCGAAATTCAAAGTTGAAAGCTCTTGAAAAAACAAGTCAGTTTTTTTTTTAGTTTCTTTGCATTCATAACTCTTTTCCAATTGTTAGTTGGCTATGTTATGAAAAAATGAAACTATTTAATAAAGAACCTTTTTTGTGGTTATCAAGTGGCAATGAGCGAATTAAAAGCATTTTCAGTCGTGTAATTTTTTTCAGGAAAAATTCTCCCAAATTTGATTTTTTCGCGATTTGACTTAAATTCTTGACTTAAATCCTGAAATTTGATTTTTTTTTCGCGATTTGACTTAAAGACTTAAATCCTGAAATTTGATTTTTTTGCGATTTGACTTAAATTCTTTTTAATTTCTCTCCAATTGTTTTTGCTAAATTGAGGCAAATTTTTTTTTTCAATATCAAACGGAACGAAAAAAAACTTGAATTACTTTATTTTCGAAAGGATTCTGTTTTTTAGGTTTTGCAGAGTAGTATAATAACAATCTTTCATTGATATAATATCTCTAATGGGTTAATTTTATTTTAAAACGTCAATTAAAAAAGTTTTCTTCGAAATTGGATATGTGAATTTTTTTTTTGCCGTTTTCTTGAATTGCTGGACACTTTTTTTATGGGCCATCTGTTGGGTTAAACAGATTAGTCGAAAAGGAAAAAGATGGGCTATATGTTGGATAACATTAGTAAAAAAGCAACAATAAATCCGATTGTTTTTTTCTTGACAGTAAAAATTTATGGCGTATCACTGCACTTTGTTCAACGTGTTTTTATGGTACAAAGTTTTGTCGGTCTGGGGTTTTTCAGGTCATTATCTTCATTACTATTTTTGTTTTCGCGTCCACCTGGCATAAAACTCACATTCATGTCAAGCTATTAGTTTCACCAAGTTGTTCTTGAGGAAAAATTTAGTTTGAATTGGGTTTATTGTTCCGACCATTTGAAAAATGGTGGAGGAACTTTGTATACCCAGTGTTGAGAAAAACCGGTTTGAAGTTTTTATTTTTTCGTCTAGAAGCGAGCAGGCTTTTATTTATGCTTCATTTAGGCCGTTTACAATAGCTTATTTATGCTTAATTTTATTGAGTAAAATTAGTTGTTGGAGATTTTTAATGCCATTTTGATAATCAAAAGTTAAAAAATTTCTGCAAATTTTTGTTTTTCTTTTTTTGTTTTTAGTCATTTTGTTGTTTTTTAGTCATTTTTCTTCAAAGACTGTTGTCCTGTTTGCTTATATTACTATGTTTGTCGAATATGCCCCAATTAAAGTTAAACGTTAGATCCTTTTGTCACACCACGAAGAAATAACTACACTAATTTGAAGAAAAAAAAACATTTTTTAAAGACTATGGTCGGAACGTTCTGTGCTACTTGCACAGTAACCAGCTATCTTGTTAGTGCAAATAGTAGAAGTCTATGCTACCCGACTGTGTGAACAAAAATTATAATTGTAAATTTTCACATGGGAAGAGAAACAGAAAAAGAGTCCTCATCTTTTTTTTAGTCAGTGCAGTGATTAAGACGTGGCTGAAGAAGTCATGGCAGAAAGTATCTGTGATGGTACTCTCAGGTCTCATCAGTGGGTTTTGTATGATCCTCCTGCCCTTCATCACCAATGCCATGCTTCTGTTCGCTGTCAGAACCTTGCAATTCTTCGTGCTAGGTGAGATCACTAATTTCCGTCAACTTGGAAGTTTTCTAGAATATATGCACATTATGACGCATACAAAGATTGTTAGACTGTGCTTGATCCTAGAATGAATGAATTTTTCATGCAGTTAAAATCTCTGGAGTGTCTGATCTAGGCATTGATTTAGCTAAAAAAAGAATTGAACAAGGTGCTTTTGATTTGAAAAATGGAAAATTGTAACAAATACTATGACCTGTTACACGTGTTAAGACTGTCAAATCCTCCGTTTAACTTTGTCTTGCGATTGAAACTGTGTTTTATAAGCCATAATCGTTAGCTATGATCTCAGACTCTTAGCTATGATCTATTTAGATTTTTTTTTTCAAAAAATGTCCTTTACCAGCGATAATTTTGTAATACTGGAATATTGTAGCTGCGCAGATCACAGCGGACACCAGTCTTCTGGTGTACATGCTAGGCTCCTTCAAAGCCAGACCCTTCATCATGGCCTTGCACGCATTCATAGGAGTGGGCTTCCTAGTTGCCACTCTGCTGGTGAAGCCATTCCTCCCAGAAGTCAGAGGGGCCGTGTGTCCAGGCAGTACACAAGGAGAGAGTGAAGACTCGCTGTTGAAAACAAATATTACAGGTATGCTGCAATAACTTCGGTTGCTCGCAAGGTTGAGAAGTTATTTAACATTCAATTTAGCTTACAATGTTATTTACGCTAGCGAGTAGCTAGTGTTTTAGTGCGAACCTTCTTATTTTTCTAACCTAACTCGCAAATGTAAGTGTTCATTAAAAGTGTTCCATTGTATGACTTTTTGCTATTATCACGATCTGTAGCATTGGAAATTTCATAACATCTGTTCTCGGCTTTATTTGTGGCTAGTATTTTGATGGATTAAGCGTCCATGGCTGAGTGGATAGTTCGTGAGACTCATAATTTCAAGATCGTAGGTTCGAGTCCGAGTCGCCGCCGAATTTTTATTAACTCGAAGCTTATTTTTACTTTTTTATTGCACTTTTTAAAGCTCCAGAGCTGCTTTTTTGTCGTGTTCTCGCTAGTGGTTGCGAAGCACAGCTTCGCCTCTGTGTTATAATTTCTAACAGTGATGTTAGCGGTTTCTTAGAAATGTGGGTATTTCTTTGGAAAGCACTCCGCATACAACTATTTTTATGCGGAGGGGGTATATGAATTTTTACGAGTGCAGAATTTTTCAGTTCGGGTTTTTTGGTTTATTTTTGGAACACATATGGGAAGCTCAGAGCCCAACTTGGCGTCGAGAAAGTTGGAAAACTGTTTTTTTTTTTTTCAAGAAACAATGGTTTCTAATGTGTTGAATTCTTTAATATAAATAACATAGTTTTTTTAAACTATTTACTGTTAGATTGTTATTTTCGAAACTAACATACAATTTGCCAACCCTGTGTGCTAATTAATCATAAACATTTTTCTCTTATCCATAAATAGTCTTTCTTCTGAGGCGTTTCAATTATAACTAGGAGATTCAAAATGTTGGATTAATCTGAATTTTTTTAACACAGAAATGCCGTTTTAGTGTTTTGGAAGCCCTGTCTGTTCTCAAAGACGTTTTTTCTATTCCAGTTTTTTCACAGTCGGGTGATTCTGAACAGCCAAAAGAGGCAGATGCGAGTATGATTCACTGGCCATTCGTCATAGTGGGCTCATTCTCCATGCTCGCTTCCATAATGCTAGCCTTCCTTATAATCCTGCCCTTCAAAATACCAGTCTACGAGGAGAAAGATGAGCTGAAGGAGCAGTCAGTTGAAATGGCGGAGAAGAGGAAGAAAGGCGTCGAGGTGGAAACATCGCATCACAGTACAGGTGAGCGTCTCGTAGTTTGATCACGTTTGAGCTGTTATTTTAATTCGAGTTGTTATTTTTTTAAGTACACTTAACTTGGAATGATATCAGTAAATGAAAAAGTAAATATCGTTTTTTATTTTTGATTCATCAAATCTGTTTTTGAGTCCTAGTCCTTTAGTTATGAATCACGATGCCAAAAGATGATTTGTTTGAAACAAGTTGGCCTTGAAAACTCCGGCTTGGGTTTTTTGAAGCTTTTGAGAGACGCTTTTTGATGAGACGCTTTTTTAGGTTTGTTGTAGATACGAAAAATTGTAGCTAAATATTTGTCTGTACTTGAGTTATCTCTTCATAGCATCATCTTGTTTAGGAGGCAAAGTGAATGTGAAAGCTCAAGTGCTCTTCATCTGCTTGATATTCATGTACTACGTCAACACGTGTGGCATCGAGCGCATCTTCCAGTCCATGAGCTACTCATTCGGACTCTGTGGACCATTAAAGTTGGATCCATCATCAGCAGTTATCACAGACACTGCTTATACTGGGGGATTCATGTCAGGAAGAATACTGAGCATCATTATTGGTGCGTAAATGCATTGCCTCAGAGAAATTAGTAGTTTTTTTTTAAATCAAGCAGAAACTCTTAGCCTTGCTATAGTTCAACTGTAGCCTTAGATCACCAATTTTTTTAGCGTGTTACTATAGAATTTTTTCACCATTATACAAAGAACTGAACAAAAATGCATGCAAATCCGCATCGGTGAGTCCAACAATAGTTAATCTGAGCGTAAATGATTTTAAGACACTTTCTTAGCAGGTAATTCTGAATTGATTGTATGTTGGTCCATTCTGTCTGTAGTTTTCTGGTTTCGGCGAAAATTCTCATGTGTCAATGAGCCAAGTGAAGGTCGTGTGGTTTTTCAGTTCTTGTTTTTTCTTAGGGAGAAATCTTGATAATTGTTCAGGCTCAGATTAGTTATTGAAGGCTCAGATTTGGCAATTGAAGGGCAAAAGATCTTTTTGGTTTGCAAATTAATCTATATAATGAATTGAGTATTGTTTTTCTAGCTTTTGTTGATTTTTCATTATAACCGCAAAAGTAGACCATTGAATTATTTTGACTGTTTTATAGAAAGTTGAATAAAATGTTTGTATTTGTACTTGAAGGAATCAAAAGCAGCTCATGGTGAAAATATAAACAACTCGTGTGTTGTTCCTTCCCTTCATAGATAAATGACGATGAGTAATGTTTCAGCTAAATTCGTGGAGCCAAGTCGCATGGTGATGGTGAGTCTGGCTACTTGTCTGTTGGCGTCTATCTTCTTAGCCCTAGTGAGTGAGTTCTCAGCAATGGGACTATACCTGGGCACATTTGTGGTCGGATTCTTCATTGCTTCTGAGTTCGGGGGATGTGTCAATTGGTGTGCTAAGGTAACTTTACTTATGCAGTCCGTCAATTCGTTTTTACTATTGATTTTATCAATTGAACCGAAAGTTTTGTTTGTTCGTAAAACAGGTTAATTGAAATCCCATTTCAAAAACTTTTCTACTCGATACACATCGAGATTTTTGAAATGCATAATCATACGCAATTTGTTTTGATACATTCTCATTTATTACTTGCAAAGTTAGTGTGGTTGCTTTTAGTTTATTACACTTGCAAGAGCAAGTGTTTTGTAGTCGGAAACTAGACTTCTTTCCCCCGTTAACACCTTTTCTTACAAATCTGTGAGAATTTGTGAAGTTGCTGTATACGTGAATCCGAGCAAATGCGATTCTCTCCCACTAGCCCAGAGGTAACGGGATACATTTGTACCCTAATGCTTGGGGCTCGAGTCCCAGCCGGACCTTGTTTTTTTTTTATTATTTATGAAATAAAACTTTTTGCGGGAGAAATTGAATTGTCGGATTTTCGTTCGTCTGCTTGTGTTTTCTCGGCTTATTTACACTAGCACCAGTTTAGTATGTTATTAAGAACCTTCTTTTTTCTTACCTAAGTCGCAAATATTGGTGCCACCTTTGGGGCTTTTTTTGCAGCTTTTTGATAGCGTGTGCTTTGACATTCGATCGACTAGTAATAAGTTTACACAGTTGGTGTGTTTTTGATTCATTAACTGAACCGAAAAAAGTTACTAGTTTCAAACAACAAAACAATCATAAAACTCGATTTCAACTCGAAGTTTTCTAACTCAATAGATCTCGCAATTTTTTGAAATTCTTAATTTATACATGATGTGGCTTTATGCTTTCTGATTTGTTACATGTAAATGCCTTTGGAATATAACAAACTGAAGGCCTTTACATGTAACAAATCAGAAAGCATAAAGTCCCATTTTGTATAAATTAAGAATTTCAAAAAATTGCGTCTATTTGCATTGGCAATTTATTAGCATATGTAGCTGCTTTATTAATAACTAGTGTTTGACGGTGGTTAAGTGTGCGTGGCTGAGTGGTTTGTGCGTGAGACACAAAATCTTTTGATTGCTGTAGATCGCAGATCAAATCCTAGACCTAGCCGAATTTTTTGATTCTTCGAGGTTTATATCTATTTTTTCTTATTGCACTTTCTAGAGCTGCTTTTTGTCGTGTTCAAGCTAGTGTTTGAGAAATTGGGTCATTTTCTGGTGCTGTCTGCAGTTTTTATCGTAGATGCAAGGGTTCTTGATTTGCTCCTGTTATTCAAGTTAATATCTCTGACGTTGTATATTTTCCTTTGTTTTAATTTTTTTTTGCTTAAACGCTCTATTTGGCCTAAATAGTTTTGGCTTATGTTTTATTGAATTAGATGCTTTATTTTGTGTCGCTTCAGGGCGAAAAAGATTTTTTTATTCATCGATTTTGCGTAAATCATGTTGGAATCAATGAATATTTTGTTTCAAGTGCTCTGTCTCATCTTTCTCAATTATTACGATCAAACATCTAAATTAATCAAACAAAGATTTTTTCAGAAGTAAAATTCGTGTGAGTTTTACGAATCCATCAAGTTTGTCTGAGGTTTTTTTGGCGAACCCTGAAGGTTTCACTTAAAATGCATCCATTGATAAAATGCCTTTTTTTTTAATAAAAAGGGGTTTGAAGAACTCGAAAAAACATTGACCTAAAAAATTGGCTAAGGTCATGTTAATTTGCGAGGATGTGAGATTCATAATATGCTGGTTGAAGTTTTGATTCCGGAATATAGAAATTTTTTTCCTTTAAAGGCTTAATAACCCCTTTTTTCCTTAAAGATTTTCAGAGCTACTTTTTTCTGTTTTCTCGCTTGTTTGCGAAGCGCAGATTCACTTCTATGCTAAACTAACAATTTTTAAAATTATTTGATTGAACATCTGATCAAAGTAATTAATATCACATGCAAATATGCTTATCGCTTCGCCCCAATAGGAAAGAATATGATCGTCAAACTAAATGGTTATGATTTTGCAGTCATTGTTGTGATGGTTCTATTCACGTTGTCCATCTGCGCCTCATAAACTATTCGAAATTGATCTTTGTGCTACAGACTTGCTGAAATTAATTTGAGATCTGCAATGGAGCGTTTATTGATATTCTGGTTCAATTTGGCGCTTATCATAAGTAAATACGAAATGAAGGCATGGGTATGTCCAAATTGGTTTGAGTCGGTGTATCGCAATGCCTCCACACTTTAATTGGATTGATCTAAGCAGCCTCATGTCTTTATATATTTTCATTAGACTTTCGAATTTAAACTGAAGAAACTAATTTAGAGAATAACACGTTTTGTATCAATTTTTAAAACTAAGTTTGAAACATTGTCTAAGTTAGTCTTTTTTCTCCTAAAGAAGATTTTTTGTCATTTGTTCGTTTGCCATGTTTAGAAGATGGACATCACTGGCAAAATGTCTTCCTCTTTTTTCGCCGGCTGTGGAGTGGGCGGTGCCCTGACCCCTATTCTCTCTGGCTACCTGTTCGAATCCGCACTCGGACCCATGTATATCATGTATTTTGCATGCTTCTCATGCTTACTCCAATGTGTCATTTTCGCCAGTGCTTGGACAGTAACCAGATACGCACAGCTGAAGTAGAAGTATATAACACAGAAAAAGAAGAGAACGCGAAAAAGAAGCAATGAAATTAAATGTTCACTTTTCATGAAAGTAACGCCTTATTTTATACTTGAAACGTACTTTTATACTTTTCTATAGTGTATCAATGAGTTTAATTTAAGATAATAAGTAATGGAATTTGTAATTATTGTTTTTTGTAATTATTGCAATAGCAAAGAATGATCGGCCCCTGAGACTCTTTCCCGGTCGTTAGCTAATTGAACCAAATTCAAAAGACCATTGACCTTCAAAATGTAAAACCCAATTTTTTGAAATTGTCTGTGCCATTTGATCATTTGTTAGAGTTCAACTTGGCAGTGTTGACATTTTTTTTGAGTGCAATTTTTTCTCTAGCGTTTTTTGGGATTGTTACAAATCGGCTAAATGGACCATTTTGCCATGTGTTCTATATTTCAGCAGTCTTCTCTCCTAGACATGAAAAAAATACCGATAGAAAAATTTCACATATAAAGTAAAAAAAATGATCAATTTTCAAATTGTTTTTCTTCATTGGAGGTTTCTGTGACCCTTGTAGTGGCCCAACTCTGACAAATGTCGATAGATCTAGTGTCAATGGGACATTTTTAGGTGGGCTAAGTGAGAAAGGTTTCTCTGTAGCAAATGTTCATGGAAGTGTTAATGAACGAAAAGAAGGCACTTAATTAGGTCTTGTTTTTTTTCAAGAGAGTTTGAAAGTTTTTCTAGTTTGATTTTGTAGCAATTTGACTTTTCTTTTTTAATTTCAATTCAAATTCATTTCCTAAAAGGAAGGCAATTTACGTCCGAATGTGTAAGTTCAAATGGGCGCAAAAACGTGAATGGCTGTATTTTCTAAAGTGCACTTCAGTTTAAAGATGTCCCACTGAAACATAAAATTACCCGTTTAGCCAATTTTTTCTTATTCGGTTGGTTTTTATGAAACAAATAAGAAGCATAAAATATCCTTGAATTTGAAAAGTGTTCGAAAAACGATCTGTTTTCCAGTTTCGCTTAGTTGGTTGACTTTTCCAGCTTTATGTAGGCTAAAACACGCTTGCCACTAGCCAGCATTATCAAATTTGAACATACGGAAATTATATAAGACAATTGCTGAATCATTGGATAGTTTTATTAAGCGTAATGAACGTAGTGAAGCCTCTTGTATAGGTCTTGCTGATTTTTTTTGTTTTTTTTTGTCAGGAAAAAGTCTGAAAATGTGCATAAAAGTCTCTAATAACTACAGATAGTGATATAGTCTTGTCAGTAATTGAACAAGTTGCTTTGGAGTAATTTTTGATTGACTAAAAAACCAAAAATGATCTTATGATCTTTCTGGTGGATAATTTTTGGCCCGAATTCAGCAAAAGAAATTGCACCATATTAATTGTGTTAGAATTTTGAGCAAGAATGGACATCATCTTTTTCCGAAATTAACACAATTTGAGAAGGGTTTTAAAATTCAATTTTTATTCGTTTTGTCCGGATAATTTAACTAATTACTGTAAAACTAGTCTTTAAGCTGCAGTTGGGGTAATAGTTGCAGTTATGCAATTGGGTCTTCTTTCAGCTTTTGAAACACGGACGCATTCCGTGTTTGATTTTTATTTAGCCTCCTTTCAAAAAACGTGTTTGTGATTTAGAAAATTTCAATTTATTACTCAAAGGTTGAGATTTTTAACGCTTAATTGCCAGGATCTGAAATGTTTTTTTTTCTTTGGCAAATAGCTATTTTTTGGCATTGTAGCTTGAGCTTTTTGTGCCTAGTTCTGTACCGGCATGTTTGCGTAGTATCAAGTGTTTTTCGGGCATGAAGATTTTCCATTGTACTGATCCAATTTCTCTTTTTGAGATAACTTTAAGAGTAAAATGCCATTCAAACAGTTCGTGAAATTCAGAGCTTTAACATTTATTTTTTTCTTCGAAACTTGAACAATATTTTAGAATCTTCAAATTATTTTTTTGGTTTGCCTATTTTTTTCCAACCATGTTTTGGCTTTTTTAGTCTTCCAAACGATAATTACACTTGCGAGAGCAAATGTCTTGTAATCGGGAACCTGACTTTTTCCCGTAAACCACTTTTCTTACTAGAAATTGAACTTGCATTGTTAGTGAGCGTTAACAACTTGAAGGTTTCTTCCAATTTGGCCTGGAGATATCGGGATTGCTTTTGCATTGTATGGTCTGGAGTTCGAATCCCGGCAGGACCTTGTTATTTCAGTATTATAAAATGGAAAACTTTTTCCGCTTAAAAATGAATTGTCGGACTTTCGTATTTCTGCTCAAGTCTTGTAGGCTTTTGTGCGACATAACAGATTTTTTTGTGCTGTATGCAAGTATGATGGTATTTACAAGTGTTGTTCATTGTGTTTTAAGGGGGGCTGGAAGCTTTTTAAGTTTTACGTAGAGTTAATTTTTTTGGCTCATCTGGTGTCTGCTCAAAGATTGTCGACTTTGTTTCCGCTTCGTAAGTTTTAATCCGTTGCTAAATTAAAGTTCTTATGTATTGCTTATAGTTTTTAATAAATGTATGGGACTGATTAAAATTGAATGTTTTTTTTGTTCTTTATTTGAGACGCTTTGGAAAATTTATTCACCTGCAAAGTTTTTGGATTTTCTCACAAACTACTCCACCAATTTTAAAAAAGAATATTAATTAAATCAAAAAGCGCCTATTCCCCTGTGTGCTTGAATAATCCCCTGGTCTGTTTTTACGTTGCCCCACTCTACAGCCTCGGCCTTCTAAAAATCTGTGGGGCGATTTGACCCATTTTTTCGAGAATTTTTCTTAAAATCTACTTTCCCAAAGCTTAGACTTTGGTCTCCATCGAAATAACGGGATGTGTATCTCTTCTTCAAAATTGGTTCACTTTTTTATGCAAGATATAATGATTTTCCGGAAATGTCTATGATTTATTTTTGACCGGTTTTTCGAAGCTTTTTGGCTTTTCATGAAAATTACCTCGTCAATTCTCAGGTTAAGCATTCAGTCGAGAAACCCGATTTTGGGCCAATTTTTTGCTTAAGCGGCCACGGCCTACTTTTTGCAGAAAAACAATATTGGATTCCTGAAAATTCAATCTAAAAAATTGATTGCGAGAATATTTTCTGTAGAAGCGGGAATCCCTAATTTTTTGGAAGAAACATGTGTTTAAGAAAATTCCAATATCCCTACTTTTTCACTCCTCTCACTTGTTTTAGTAGAGAAACAACTAAGGTTTTGGGCTAAGTCCAATTTTCGAACTTACGATATTGATCTTGCATCAGCGTAACAAATTCAAACATAGCAAACACTTTTGTAGCTACCTTTTACCGAGACATACGAGAAGTTTGGTTAACCTAGTTTTTTGAACGTTTTTTTTTTCAACTTGTTCCTACGTTTGTGTTGTATCGGATGTGGTGCAAAGCTCCGCTTCGCCTCAGTGTCAAGTGTGAAATCAGTTTAGAGCGATGGAAATGCTCAAGTAGAATTGACCACGGAAAATGCGCCTCAGCTTTTCAAAACTTGATTTGATTTGCAGAATAAAATTACCCGAATGAACCATTTTATTTCAAACTAATTTGTTTTTCAGAGAATGTCGAATATTAATTTTATTTTAATTTCAAAAACTACAGGGTTATGATGTTTTTATTTGTCATAACAAAATATAGCAAAATCAGTTAATTTTTTGGCTTACGTGACTTTGAGTTAGCATTTTTCGATCTTCTTGTTGGCTCTACCTTTTTCATAAATTCGTTAGCTGAAACAAAGTTTTAAAAACAGCTGTTTCGATTTTTTCTCTTTGAACTGTTTTTGAACAAAGTTTGCTGTTACGTATCTAGGAATTGTTTCGTTTTTTAAGAACTTATCAGCCTGCATTTACTTTGGCGATTTGACCTTGAATTTTTTTATTTTTTTTTTTTCAAGTTCATCGGCTGAACGGTAGGCAAATTGCGCTCTCCTACTATCCTTGCATTTAGCAAGTGTGTTACAACCAGGTAGTAGACTTTTTGCCGTTTACAACACTGCTCACAGAATGAAACTTAGAACAAATTATGTTTAATGTCATTCACTCGGGTATGCTATATAGGCAGTACATAATTTTTTTTTGCTGTGTACGCTAAACTTTTTTATTGTGGAATTTTGGCTTACTGGGTGTCGTCTTACACTGTGGACTTATTGACCTGACATTTTTTTCTATATAGTTTTTTTGTGGAGTTATTTGCTATTGCTTTGAGAAATGAACTCTCAGTTTTCTCAAAGTTTTAGAATGATCTTCTTCGTCGCAGATTTCCTTAATCATTCCGTTTTATCAAAAAGTTTTAAATAAACCATTTTTTTGTTTTAATGTTCAGTTACTTTCACAACTTATGCTCAAATTTCCCATGAAAATGTTTTATCTATACTATATTTAAATGCGAGTGACAGCTATCTCCCATGTTTAAGCATAATAGTTTTCCATGTTTAACGAAAGAATTTTTTCATGTTCAAGCTATATCATATATTGCAATGCTTAAGAAAATTTTTCAATTAATTTTCCGCAAGGTCAATAATTTTTCAGTATTTTTTCGAGGCCAAATTAAGTCTGTCTGTCTGTATACCTGCTTTTTCATTTAATTTTATTGACTGTCTACCCGTCTCCTAATTTTATAACTTTCAATTTGGTCTCGACTATTCATTTCAAAATAATACCGCTGTCAAACGGTTGTCGCCAATTCTTTCTCTTTATCTGGATTTTATTTTTTTTCCTGTCTTTCTTCTGATCCTTCTTTATCTTTTTTTCTAATTTTTTTTATCCTTCTTATTCGATCTATTTTTCTATCTTTCTTTTTGAATTTTTTTCTATCTTTTTTCGATCCTTCTTTTTCGATCCTTCTTTTTCGATCTTTCTTTTGCAATCTTTTTTCTCTTTTTTCCTATTTTTTTCGATCCTTCTTTTTCGATCTTTTTTTCAATCTTTTTTAAAATCTTTTCTATCTTTCTTTTTTTAATTTTCTATCTTTTTTTTCGATCCTTCTTTTTCAGTCTTTTTCTATCCTTCTTTTCGATCTTTTTTTCTGTTTTTTTTTTATGTTTTTTTTTCGATTCTCTTTTTTCTTAAATTTATTCAATCCTTTTTTGATTTCTTTATCAATCCTTCTTTTCGATCTTTTTTCTATTTTTTTTTTTCAATATCTTTTTGTTTTTAAATTAAAACTTAAATTTTCAAAAAATTTTTTGTAATTTTTGTTTTCAAAATTTGAAATGCCTTACCCTTTAGTTGGGTGCTTTCAGGGTACTCTCATGAGTTGCGAATCTTTCGTCCAAATGTGACTGCTCAAATCCTTGTAGTTTTCGAGATTGACGTTTTTTGTGATTTTTCAAAAAATTTTCAGAAAACTGAATTTTTCTTCTTAAAAGTTTGAATTTTTAACCCTGTTTTTGGGGGTTATCAGAGTACTCTCAGGGGTTGCGAACCTCGCCTCCAATTACGACTGCTCAAATCTTTCTAGTTTTCGAGATATGACGCGTTTTTTGTGATTTTTTGAAAACAAATTTAAAAAAAAAGAATTAATTTTTGTTTTCAAAATTTGAAATCCTTTACCCTGTAGTTGTGTACTGTCAGGGTACTCTCAGGAGTTGCGAATCTTGCTTCCAATTTTGACTGCTCAAATCCTTGTTGTTTTCGAGATATGACGTTTTCGTGATTTTTTCAAAAAGTTTTTAAAAAACCTAAGTTATTATTTTGTCAAGTTTCTAAGTCTTTACCCTGTAGTTCGGTGTTGTCAAGGTACACCCAGGAGTTGCGAATCTTGCCTTCTAATTTGAATGCTCAAATCCCTGTAGTTTTCAGGTTATGACGTTTTTTGCGATTTTTCAAAAAATTTCAGATAATTTTTTTTCCAAATTTGAAATTCCCAACCCTGTAATTGGGGGCTATCAGAGTACTTTCAGGGGTTGCGAACCTCGCCTCCAGTTATGACTGCTCAAATTTTCGTAGTTGTCGAGATATGACGTTTTTTGTGATTTTTTCAAAAAAATTTAAATTGTTTTGTTTTCAAAATTTGAAAAGCCTTACCATGTAGTGTTGATTTGAGGGTACTCTTAGGGGTTGCGAATCTTGCCGCCTACAAATGTGACTGCTCCACTTCTTGTAGTTATCGAGATATGACTTTTTTTTTGTAATTTTTCGAATAAATTTCAGAAAAATTAACGAATTTTTTTTCTTAAAAGTTTCAAATTTCCAACCATATAATTGGGTGCTGTCAGAGTACACTAAAAGGCTGCTGATCTGGTTTCCACTATATGCAGTTTTTCTTGAGTTGTCAAAAGTTCGAATCACCGGTGGTGCGTTACACGCTAGTCTGATTTTGAAAAAATACTGAGAAAGAATATTCAGTTAATTTCAGCAAATCGGAACAAAGAATTTTTCCGGTTAACAGCTTGTTTAACACAATCAGTTTCATTTCATTAGCCCTGTCTGAAATTTTAACCCACTGGCATATTTTCAACACTAGTTCGAATTTAAATTTAGCAGGCAAATTTTAAGTTTACCATTGCTAATTTTGCTGTTTTTATGCGCCTTGACAAGGTTAATGCTTATGGTATACGTTTTTGTTGTTTGTAGCTGCAAAAATGGTCGTTCAATTCGCTTCTTTACTGCGGTTTATTTTGAGTACTCCACAATCGAAAATTGTGGAGGTTGATTGATTGTTTCGTCTCGTCCATAAAACAGTAACTGTGGCTTTCCCAGGGTTCGCTAAGAGCCGGAAGGCCCCATTCTCACAGTACTGAGTAAACATTGTTCTAGGGAGCAGTTTTTGATAAGGAGAACCGAGCAAAACTCCCGTGCCCGCTTTCAGCTGGCAGTTTTTATTTAGTGCGGAGAACCGAGAAAACCTCCTAATGTACCCGCTATGTTGGTACGTTAAGCCATTTTCCGACTGCAACGGGGTTGTCAAGCTTAAGAGATGTTGACTTCAATGGACAGTTAAAAGGGTGGTTTATGTCATGCGGACTAGCGTTACAGTTTGGGCAGTTGTTTTGATGTTTTTTGTTTAATCTCGACAGATAGCTATTTAATTGCGTGCTATAATCACAGCTGAGTTGAGCAATAGCTGTGCTATATTCACAGCTGAGTTGAGCAAGAGTACGTCGTTTACTTTTGGAAAGGCTGTTTTCGTCCGAAGCAATTTCTGGAGTTTGAGAGCACATAAGTTTAGAGGGATGTTTGGTAACGTAGTTTTTCACCACATTTGAATGAATTGTTTTAAGAGCGACCTTGTATTGTTCTGGTGTTAGGCGATCATTTTCATCAACACATTTTTGATGTTGTCATAGTGTTTCGGCAAGTTTTGGTTTTATAAGTTTCAATATCGGGTGTGGTTTGGTTGTGTGGTGGTCACATCGTTCTTGTTGATGGCAGCCAGCTAGAAATTCTTTGATTAACGTTTCATTGTGTTTTCCTGCTGGCAGTATTTGAGCTTCACAATGAAGGTGCTCAATTGGTAATTTTTGTGCAGCCAGATACAATTCTAAGTGCTGTTTTGTCGAGTTTGAAGGTCTTTCCAGCGAAAATCACTGACAGAAGGTGTCAAGACAGGAGCTACGTAATTCAGAACCCTTTGGGTATATCGGCTTAGTCGCCCTCTATCTGCTTTGTTTGAAATGCAAAAGGTCTTTGCAGTTTCATGCGTGTGTTTTGGGGAGTTAGTTATTCAACGGCTCAACGGGCGTCTGCTTAAGTTTTAACTGTTAACAAATTAGTTACCTTTTGGTCAGTGTTGTTTCATTGATATTATCTTCTGCGGCATATTTTGAAAGTTTTTTTTAGATCGAATTGGGACGTTCTTTAAATTAGTCCCGAGAACTTAGTTGCGTCTCATATTTTTTCAGATAGCGTGCCATGTATATATGTGATATATCGTTGAATAACAATCATGCAACTGGCGGAATATTAGACTTGGTTTTGTCCTTTAGTTTCGAAGTAGATTTTTAATTGAACCAGTTTTCTCAACTTTTTTCTCAATGTTTTTTTTGATTGTTTTTTCCTCAAATTGTGCTTTCTCACTTAAACTCTAAAATGTTTCAATCTTAAAATTCAAAGTGCTTTCAGGCGATTTTTTTGAATTCGAAAGTTTTAAAGTTTGTAGACACCCAAATTTGATTTTTCGTTGTTTGACTTACTGTTGATTTCTTTGTTAAAAGGAAGGTAATCTCCACTAACGAACAGCAAAAGTAAAGTGTAAAGGTCACGAAAAACGTGGTCGACTTGTAGATTCGAAAGTGGAACATAATTTACAGATTTCTCAGCGAAATAAAAATCTTTCTTATTGATCCTTTTTTCTCAAATTGGGTTAATGTTATCAAAAGAGTGCCCATCATAAATTGTTCTTGAAATTCAAAAGGTGGCTTTTTTTCAAAAAAAAATCTGTTTCATTGCGTTCTTTGACTTTTTTCCAACTGTCTGTTGGCTAGGTTTTTGGTATTGTGAATACACCAACTCTTTTCCTAGTGTCTAACTCTATATTTTTCCCATTTTAAATGCTAATGAATGAAGTTAATGTGCTTTTTATGTCCAGAAATTGACAATTGCCTTCTTTTCGAAGTTTGAATTGAAATGTTTTTTTTTTCGCTACAAAAATGGAATGTTTTAATAAATAGCACGCGTTACTACTACACTTCATCTACAAATTATTTTGTAGTGTTTATTCTTCAAAATCACAATTTTCTCTGTAAAGGATGTCAAACGTCAGCTGCAACCGAAAATTTCATCTGAATAGCTTTTATTTCTTCTTCGGGCAATGAGTGTAAGTGATGACTCATACCCATCCCTATTGGCGAGGGAGTTTCAGGAGGACTAGAATCTTCGCCATGGGAGTCGAGAAGAGATTTGTCGTCGAATAAATTATGTGAGTTGCTCTGATTTTGTTGCTGTTGTTGAACAGCGGCCGTGGCGGCCATTCCAATCATGAGTTGAGTGGCAACTTGTCTTTCTGCTTCCCGTTCCTCAGTTGATTGTCGCCTAAAAAAATAAAGATTAGATAAGTATTACGACTTACATAATTTTTATTCATTTTCTAGTGCTATGATTACACTTGCGATTATAATAATGCTTGCAAAAAACCTATCAAATTTTAAGTCAATTCAGTTTATACTTAAGGTAGCTTGAATGTAATTTTTGAGTGCCTCGTTTTTTTATTTTGCATTTCGTGAATGACTATCATGACTTACCTCCACTTGGTGCGTCTATTTTGAAACCAAGTCTTCACTTGTGAGTCAGTCATGTTCAATTTGGACGCCAAAGTGGCCCTCTCTCCACTTGCGAGATACTTCTGCTGGTGGAACCGCTTCTCCAGCTCACAAATCTGCAGACGTGTGAACGAAGTGCGAGGCTTCTTCCTCTTCATCAACCCCCCAGCTGAAGAAACCCCACCGACTCCAGAGCCGAATCCAGGAACAACACCTGGTCCAATTACCCCTACCATTCCCGGAATTCCTGTGTAGTCCACACTGTGCTGTTGTGGTGAAATTATATGGCTGTTAGGATGTCCATGCCCATGCCCGACCATCATGGACCCGTTTTGGGGTCGAAAAGGGTTGTGATGATTATTGCTTGAATTATTGGTTGACGTTGTTGCTGATGACTTGTACAGTTGGGCAAGGTGTGCTAGGAATGACTGGGCGGAGGGGTTGAATTGAGGGTGGGGTTGGGGAGGACAGTGGTTTGGTTTGAACAGAAGTTGGCTGGCAGTTTGAGGCGAAGATCCGACGACTGAAAATAACTGATGATAATTCATATTTGAAAAAAAATGACTTGTACATTCAATACGTTGTGTTATGGGAGTTTTTATATCTGATTTTTTAAAAATTGTATGCACTGCTACAAATTTTGGGAGCTTTTAAGAGTCGCTGAACGTAGTTTAGTTTCTTATATAGGTCGTGATGTTTTTTTTAGGAAAATTTTTAAAATTTGTTCAGGCTCGAATTAACTGTTTCGCGGTTTGACTTTTGATTGGTTTTCAGTAAATTTTTTTCTTTGTTAGAAGAGAGGCAATTTCCACTATCGAACAGAAAAAGTGCAAAGGTCACGAAAAAGTTGTTTGGCTTCTAATTTCAAAAATGGAATTTAATTACCAGATTTTCCAGCGAAATAAAAAAGTTTTACCTCTTTATCCACTTTTGTCAAATCGGGTTAACTTTCTCGATAAGTTTCAATCATTAATTGTTCTAGAATGTCAAAGAGCTTTTTTCCCGAAAATTCGAAAGTTGAGATGTTTTCAAAAAAAGTCAGTGATTTTTTTTTCTGTTGTTTACTTGCGTTCATTGACTCTTTCCAACTGTCTGTGGGCTATGTTTTGTATATTTTGTATGTATATTTGACCTATGTGTATTTGACGTTCTTTTCAAGAGCTTATTATCTACTCACGTGACAACAGTTTTTCGCGGACTGACTGCTGAGAAGGGAAAATTGGCGAGTGCATCCGAGGGCTCGAATTTGAGTTCCAGGGTATATTAGCAGGGGAATGTTGGCTGGTTAGACTCTTCATTTCACCCTGCGATAGACTCACAGGTTCTCGTCCAGCTACTAGATTGTTGTACAGGCTAGCAGGATCTATTTTGTGTTGCATCCATTTTGAAGTGTCTTGGGGAGGTTGTAGCGAGAGAGCTGTTTCATGAGGAGTTTCTGGCTTCTTGAGTTTTATGGATTTTTCTTGGTGCTGTTCATAATTGGAATCTGATTGTTCTTTGCTGTCTGGACATTCTTTGTTGCCAGGAGTTTCGAGGCTGGAAACCGTTTTGTCAAGAAGGCTCAGTATTCCGAACTTAAGTGGTGCCATTTTCAGAATTATGCCTTCTGATATTGTTGAAAGAGTTGATTTGGTAAACGCTGGCTTGAATCGAGATAAAAGTTTTTCAGGTTATTTGGGAGAACTGAATAAAGTTAAAGGTGTGTAGATTGAAAAGTGTTTTTTTTGCTGAGTAGAAAAGTGGTGAAGAGTTAATTTGGCAATTTAAAAAATGAGGTTGTTAGGTGACACTTATTGGGCCCAATTGGTTGATTGTTGTGTTGGGATTGAGAGAGGATTTATATCAGTTGCTCAGATTACCCGCCGGTCGACACATTAATCAGGTTTCAATCTGGGTCGAACAAAATTGCCACAAGTCGATTTGGCCAATCAATCTGTCTAAATAATTAGTTATAACCAGGTTTATAGTCCTTTTTGCGGAATAGGAAACAGCAGACTATTCATCCCCAAATGAAAAGAGCAACTCTTGTAATCCAAACTCTACTGAAGACAAGATACTACTCGGAAGACAGATCGATCGGACCGATTAAGGCAGCTGGCTTTATTTTAACATACGATGATTGATATTGTCCAATTTGTTAACTCTAAACAACACTTGCGGAAATGGCTCTCCCAGGAATTAACAGACACTCTACATTAATGTACAATTTGTTATTCATCTAACCCTATCAGAGTGTCGACCAATCACGTATCACTAACATTAAAGTCCACCCCAGCCCCCCTCCCCCTCTCAGTGCCGACTAGACTAGTGAACACTCAAAGTGATCCGTCTCATTGCTTCACTGGGTCTCTAAGATTGATTGCACCCCTCAACTACAATCAAAAGGTGTTCAACTGGGTTGTTAATGGCTTAGTGATGCGCTAAGCCGAATATCTTTCTAGCAAAAATGTTTTTTTTTTAAATGGCTCAAATTTTGGCGTTTAAGTAGAATCTTAGAACTTTTTTAACACCAAAAATTATTCAATTTACAAATTGCGAGAGCCAGTGCTGTGTTAAAAACTGATAATAGTAAAAAAAAAGTTAGCTTAAATACTGAGCCAGTTTTTACTTCAATATTATGCTGATTATATGTTAGGGTAAACAGAATAAGCGATCAATTAACCTGACAAAAATAACATTGTCATTATACTACAAAGTACTCAAGGTCGAGAAAAATACATTTTTTGATTTCAATGTTAACTACGTAAATCTAGGATGTATAATTTGTTTTTTTTTCCTCTATATTTTCAGTTTTTGCTTCAACGATTTTGAAATCTAAGTTATAAGACATCGGTTAATTTTTGGAAATTCGAGCGGAAATATTCATTTTCAAGTTACTAGATGGAATCACTTCCTGAATTTGAAAAGGAGCTTTGAGTTGTTCCAAGCGGAATGAATTAATTGTTGCTGTTCTTAAATTGGGCGTGCAATAGGCGCCCTTCGAATCCTCTGACCCCTTGATGAGTGCTTTTGGTCACACTTTTGGCGTGAAAGTTCCAAGCGACGCCAGAAATAGCCGAAGATGGCGTCGAAGTATTGACCACTTCTGACTTTCGATTTAAAGTAAGCGATGGTCCGTCTGAATAGTGTCTGGCATATTTCCGGATTGTTAAGTTGAAATAAAGATTGAAGTTTATCTTGAATTGAAAATGTTAATCGGTTAAGAAACTGCGTTTTAGTGAAAATTAAAGCGAAATTCTAGTTGCTATGGAAATTCTCTTTTGTCTATGAAAGTGCCTGAAAATGTTATTGCTTGCAGCAAATTTAGATTTTGTGAAATACGATTTCTTTTGCGAGATTTTTTTCGCCTGTTTCTAACTGTATCACTGTTTGTTCAAGCAAAATGCTACTTTGCCAATGTGTAACTGAACTTGTTTTTTTTTTGAAACGATTGAAAATTTTCAGGTTGTGGATGTTATTTGATCAGATGAGACCCAGTTTTCGTTTTCTTGGAAAGAACAGTTCAAAGAATATACTCGAGGGCGTTTTTGTTTTTCTTGCTGGATTTGGCATAGCTGACATTATCTGGCATAGAGTAGCCTTTTTTGCCACGTGTTCTGGACTGTGTATGGAGCCCACTATATGTGATGGTGATATGATATTCGCATACAGGGTGGACCCTTTCAAAGTTAAGGTCAGTAGTTGAAGTTTTGCTCAATGTCACGCCTGTCGGAGTCATAATTTCATACTAAAGTTTTAAGAAATCGGCCATGCAAATAACCGCTAAATTCTAATACTAAATTTCTGTAATTTATTATGCTTATAAAACCTTCAGTTAGTGGTACATGAAGCCGAAAATTTTTGTCTAGAAGTTACGTTTTCCATGTAGACCTCAAAAACTACGAATAACATGCCAAAGTACAACCAATGTAGTCAAGAATCAATGTTCGGGGTCCAAGATATAATAATCTAACTGGAGCTACAACCATTTTTGTTCTTAATTAAAACTGGAGCTACAACCCTTTTTCTTCGAGATACTGATATGTTTCTTTCCTTATTGCCATTACGTTTGTTTAGAATGGAGATATCGTTGTGTTTATTGATCCTGAAGACCCGAACAACCTCTCATGTAAAAGAATTGAAGATACTGCTGTTGTTAAAAAGACCCACCTGAAAATAAATTCACTTTCAATTCAACAGATTTCAAATTGGCGAAATAAACTCAGCACGGGATATGTTTGGGTTGAAGGTGACAATGCATCGAACTCAGTGGACTCGCGTTTTTATGGACCAATTCCTAGAAATTTGATCACCGGAAAAGTGTTCTGCAGATTTTCGAAAAGAAATGGGTCCTTCAAGAGTCTTCTTTAGAATCGTGAGATCATGACAAATTTGAAATAAATAGGGCGAAGAAGTTGTCTACAGAAAAAACACGAATAAGCTTACCTGGATGCAGATAGCAGCGGTGATAAACCAGTTATGACCATAGCAAGGGCGAAGCACGGTATGTTATACCCCCGAAATGTCTCGAAAATAGAAGATGGTTCAAAGGATGGTGCAAACCAGGTGCTGAGATTCGCTTTGTTTTTTGTTTAATCAGGGTTGAATTTAAAAAGTTATCTTAAAATTTGAAAGTTAAATTACTCTGCCAAAAACTGCTAAGATCTAATTTTGCTCTTCAATAAAACTTTTACAGCCAAAAACACTATTCATGAAGCGCTAATATTTTTAATGCTTTTACAATTTACATAAATATTGCTTGCATTAATTTCTTTGAAATATGAAAGCTATTATCATTTTCAGATAAATTGAAGTTTGTTCTTTTGAAGAATTATTTCAATTTCTACAGCAATGCTGAGATCGGGCGCCCAGCCTACAGTCGGCAGCGCAGTGAGCAACTACAATTGTCTTCGGATCCTCGTCCTGGGCGACAGCGGAGTCGGAAAAAGCAGTCTTGTTCATATTCTGTGTCACGGAACTGTGCTCACAAACCCCACGTGGACTATCGGTGCTTCCGTTGAAGTAAAATTGCACTTTTACAAAGAGGGTTCAGAGCGCGAAACGAAAGAGAAACCAGTCATCATTGAGTTCTTTGACATTGGCGGATCACTACAGCACAAAAGCAGTCGCCATATATTTTACCACAATTTTCATGGCGTAATGTTTGTTCACGATTTGACGAATAAGAAATCTTTGAAAAATCTTCTTAAATGGAATGACGAATTGTTGAACAAAAACGGTGAGTCATGGACGGGATCGGTGGAAAATATGATGAGGAGTTACACGACAGATTACAGAACAGAAAGATACCTTTCGGTTCCAGTGTTGGTTGTCGGAACCAAGTCAGATATGATGCCAAGTCCGGCTCGACTAGACCGAGTGACGACAATCGGGAAAGATCTAGGTGCCTGTGATACGATTAAATTGAACTGTCTCAACCCTGGATCGGTCCAACCTGGAACTTCATGTGCAGTTACATTGAGCAAATTTTACGACAAAGTCATTGAGAATAGCTCTAATAATAAACTTAATAGTAGTTATAATAGTAGTCCGTATACCGGTCATTATCACAGTGCAGGTAGTAATAGTAATAAATTATCCTCGTCCAGTAATTATTCTAAATTGTCTTCTGGTAATTTGACAAGAATTCACATTGATTGATCAGTGAAGTTTTCACGTGTAGTTAGATCATCGCCCAGAAAACACCGGAGAAGAGTTGTTATTTTAATAAGCGACAAGGTGCCTGCATGCATAGTATTTTTGATTAATATTATTCAAATTTCTTGATTGGGATTCAGCGTCACCGACTTTTTTTGAGGCGAAACAATTTTTAAAAAGTTTGGAATGCGTACTTACATCTTAGTTTAAGTTCACTTGAATGGACAGCAACCATAATAAACATCATAGTTCATCACAAAGCGAAGACCTAAAGCTTTGTTTTCTCAGCATCGATTCTCAGACACTCGGGAAACTACTCAAGCTTAAAATAACTTCTGTTAAGCAGTTTCATGATAGAAAAAGTGCAGTTAAACGTGTAATATCGAAAGATGCTATTCAAGAAATAGAAGAAAAGTTTGCCAATGTTAGCAAGTTTCAATCAAAGGTATCAGTTAGCGCGTTTGAAAGATGGAAAAGAAATGAGAGTGAAAAGGAACATTGTATTCGAAGCTTCTCGCAGAAAATTGATCAAAAACTCAATGGTGGCTTTCAATCAGGTAAGAAGAAGATAATTTGATTGAGAATCTGTTTAAACAAGTAGAGTGCATCGTTATTTTGTATCGAAGACATTTTTTTTAATGTTTCTCGAGACCTGTAAAATGAGGTTTGGTTGCGATCTGCTTGAGTTTTGCATTCGTAAATCAGTTAATTAAACTGCCTTCATGAAGCCAGTTATAAACTCATATCTACTGAACCTCTTGGCTCAGTAGATAATGCATATAGTTACCAAGCCGATTAACTGTTGTGCGAATCCCGGCTTCTGTCCAAGATATTTTGAAAGCATGGAAGGTTTTAAGCGCTTTTGTATTCAAACTTCGCGTCTGCCCATCTAATTAATTGATAACCAGTCCCTGTTGGAGAGCCGATGTACGTAGTTTAGACTCCTATATAGGCTGTAACGATTTTTGTTTTCAGGAAAACTCTTAAAATTTGTTCATGTTTAATTTTGATTTTCGCGGATAGTTCATTTCCCTTGCTAGAAGGGAATTCAGTTCATTTCCCTTGCTAAAAGGAAGGCAAACTGCACTATTAAACAGCAAATGTGAAAAAGTCAAGAAAAACGTGATCGACTTCTAGTTTCGTAAGTGGAATTTAATTTTCAGATTTCCAAGCGGAATAAAAATAATACCTATTTGTGTACTTTTCTCAAGCTGGGTTTATTTTATCAAAAAAAGAGCTCTAAAGCCAAATATTTTTTCGTTGAAATTCAAAATGAAATCAACACAACTTTTTTGTGCTGTCTGTTGGCGATGTTTAATTTTTGCATCGATTTCATCGTTTCAAAGAAAATGATGAAAGTAAAAAAGCGCTAACTGAAAAGACACTAATGTCTGCTATGCGCTTCAACACTTCAGAAATTTTTGTCGACACGATTGTGATAGAGGGTCCCAAGACCCAGGAAAATGCAGGGCTCACACATTTAAAAAATAATTGCCTCGGAAGTTTTTAAGTATCTATGAGATGGGACACGGTATAGTGCTGGAGCATTCGCTTCGAGATCGCTCAACTAAGTAATTCATTCTGGAATTTAAAGTGAAACAGACTATGCTTAGACAGGCTGGGTAGCCTTTCATGGATCATCTGCGAATCGCAGAAACACGAATTATTTTGCTTCACTGCTATTCAAACATGAAAAACGTTCAGTTAAATAAATGGACTCAAAAGTTTGAGAAAAAGCTCTTAATGAATCCAGCGAGAAAAATATTGAACGTCTTGAGTAATGTGGGAACCCTTTGTGGCAGAATTTTTCACAAGGGCATCTCGAGTAAAATTGTTTATGATCAAGAATTTCGTTTTTTCGATCTGGTCCGAAACCCTAAAATCAGCACATGCATCAAACAATTTCCGTTTTATACGCAGTTTATGAGAAATCTTCGGGAGGCTTTGAACAAAACCGATGAAAAAATTGGTTTTTGTCGGCGTGCCTTCCTTATTAAATGTAGGGCACGTCGTGCATTTTAGATTCCATCTGTATAAATTGGCTGTCATGAATTTTTGTCAAAATTTCGTTAAATGTTCTTGTCTTTAGTCACGTTCAATAAGCTTTTAGAGCAGCCTTTATCACCCGCGATTAAACTGATTTTTTAAATCATTATTTGTTTCGAATAACATTATGAAAATAGCCTTCACCAGAAATTTTAAGAGTCTTAACGCCGTACCATTCTTGTATATTAAATGAATGACATCAATGTTGCATAAGGACTAATGTTTAAGGGGCTATCGAGCGCAGCGTTTAAAAGGCTTAGATCAGAACGTCTAAGAATCATTCAGAGCGACCATCGAATATTCTAAAGTCATGGAATTTTCATTTTGTTCAAAGAGTTTCGTACTTTTTCAAATTAAAGTTTTTTCAGAATTAGTTCACGCTCAACTTTGATTTTTCGCGGTTTGTTCAACTGTGATTTCTTTTTAAGTTCAATGCTTTTCCATTGTTAAAAGAAAGGCAAACTCCACTATCGAACAGCAAAAGTGTAAAGGTCACGAAAAACGTGACCGACTTCTGATTTCGAAAATGAAAATTAATCATCAAATTTCTTAGCGAAATAAAAGTTTTGCCTATTGATCCAGTTTTTTCAAACTGGGTTAATTTTAACAAAAAATGTCGATCCTAAGTTGTTATTACAAATTCAAAGAGCTTTAGGGCCATCTATTTTTTTCTTCGAAATTCAAAAGTGGAAGGTTTTTGAAAAAACAAGTCAGTTTTTTTTAGTTTCCTTGCCTTCATTACTCTTTTTCCAACTGTCAGCTGGCTGTTTATTTTTTATGGAAACATACGAAAAATTTGGTTCACCTAGTTTTTTTCTACGTATTGTTTTTGTTTGTGTTATATCGCAAGTGTTATTTGTATGCTTTAAGTATTTGTAATTACTAGCCCCCTAATTCACGAAAAGAAGCCAAAATCTAAATGTGTACTTTTTAATCTTCTAATTTTTTTTTTGCAAAATTAACTAAACGAAATATTTTGCGCTACATGCTCAGATGCAGGCTACTGTTGTTTCTAGAAGAGTCTGTCTGTTGGCTGCTTTTTTCCTTTTAATTGTGTTGCCTGAACTAAATTTATTGCTGCAACAACCGAAAGTAAGGAGTAACTTGGGATTTACCACATTACCAAATTATATACCACAAAGAAAAGTCGATGGTATATCATCTTGCAGACCAATCATGGGTGATTCGAGCTGCAATTTAAAGTACTTGAGAAAAAGCGTGTATTTTTCAATATTTCGCCCAAAATAAATAAAAGTTGAGCGCAATCTTCAAACTATTTTGGACTGATATTCAATATGAAACCATCAGTTTGAGCCTTTTCAGTAAAGTTATCCTCTTTCATATTAGCGAATTCGCGAAAAACTATTAGCGAAAAATGCTATTTGTTGGTATTTGCAAAACAAGCTACTTTTTCAGTGTTTGTACACAGGTATATCTTAATCTTGCATACAAAAGCGGATCTCCTCGAAAAAATTGAACAGGCCATATGCTAGCTCTCTACTCATTTGATAAATGAGCGTTGTATTTAATCTTCATTGGCCATATTCGCTTTTGTTTTAGGGATTATTTACGAATTTGTCGGAGCCCCTGGATCGGGCAAGACTCAGTTTTGTCTGCAGTTGTTAGCCAACGCTTTCGTGCCACGAGTACTGCAAGGACCACAGGCTGAATCAGCTGTGTTCATTGACACTGAAACTTCATTTTTCTCTACAAGGTTCTCTAGTGTCTTGTCAAAGACAAGTAAGTCATTCTTATTTGTTGAATTTCGTGAGTTAGACCCATTGCAAACTTTTATGCAAACAGCCTTCCAAGGCCGCTGTAGTGCATTCATTATTTGACGATTAATTGAGATTCTTGAAAGATGAGGAGCAATAGTTCAATGGCTGGGAGCTGCACGAATCAGTCGAAAGATGGGTGGTGTGAGCAGGGTAGGGAAAATTAAAAGCCATTAATTATCTAGTGAAAGTCAATTCTTCAAATCGGAATATCTACTTTTTTCGGTTTAACAACTTGTCTATCAATTGAATCACTTATGGTGCTGCTATGCTTCTGACATGCTCAAGTTAATCAAAACTATAATTTAACTACTGGGTACTAGTTACTACTGGCACATGCTAGATCTAGAACTCAAACCATTGTGTGTATAATTATAGTTTCGATATTAATTGCCTGCTGATGATTTTTAGGCTCCATAGTTGTCGACTTAAGGTCTGTCGGTTTAGTTTCCAAATTCTGTAGTCCTTTTTGCATACGATACTTATATAGCTATCGTGGATACTATTTTGTCGTGGCGGTCGGCTTTATATCTCCAATTTTTTTTTTCATTTCGTACTTACGTAGTACTTTTGAGATCGATAGGACTCTGGCACCAATTTGAATGCCCCAATTCAACCCCACTAGGACCTCTTTGGAAAACTTCCATAAATTTAAACAAGACAAAGTACTTATTTTCGTTTTTCCACTTTCTTCTTCAATTGTAACATCGCTTGCAGCTCTGTTTATTAATTTTGGAGCGTCAGGGTGCTTTCATTCTAAAATTGTTGTATCGCAAGTGGTGCGAAGCTCAGCTTCGCTTATCTGTCAAATAATTTCCATTTATGGTATTCAGTTTTTATGCACTGAGTTAAGTTGTTGTTTTTGCTCTTCAATACCTAATTTTTTTGTTCGTTTCTGCGTCCCATAATCTTTTATTCGTTTTCAGAAACAGTTGCTCTTCCAAGTGAACAAGCGACACCTAAAAATCTCTGGTCATGGAAAAAAATCTCACTGTCCAAACGTGATGTCTCGTTATTTTCTCGTTATTTGTAACGTTTGATTCATTTTATTTATCTTGAAATAATTCTAAAACTACAACTCTAATTTAATTTTCAGTGAACTTGTACAAACTTGGATGGCCTTTATACAACAAAGCAAGTCTGCTTGTTTTTGGGCGAAGCCATAAATGTTTCATTTTCCTTTATGGTCCAAGTAATAAGTTTTTTTTAAAAAAGAAACTTTGAGGGAACTTTAAAAAGAAAGAATTTGCTTATCAATTTTTGTCGAAAATATCCGCTTCACACGCTATGTTAAGTAATAAAGTGATCTAATTAGCGTCTAGCAATGTTTAAGTAGATCAAAATAGTTTGCCTTAAAACAATTGAAACATTTTTCGAGCCGGATCGAATCGCCGCTTACCCCAAGTTTTCTAATTGCCATAACTGTATAAAATATAATCATAGATGCAACATCTTTTCAAATTCGAGCTCAGAGCGGGGTTTCCTTTCAAATGCTTTTGAAAACTTCATTCAAAAGTGGCTCATTAAAAAGTCGAAATTTGTCTAAAAAACACCGAGCACAAATATTCCATCCTGTTTTTACCCTCGCGATAAGCAAGTGTATTGAAATCGGGCCTTAAAGTCTTTTTCCTGTAAATAATTTTGTTCACGGGATCTCCAAGTTTGAGATCTCCATTTCTAGTGAAGTTGCATGTTTAACAGCTGGTCTAGAGCTGCTGAAGTGATACTGGGTCTACAGCTGAAAAAATTGATATAAATAAAACAATATTTTTGTCATTTTTATTGATTTCCTCCCAATTTCTGTCGGCTTACTTTGTAACTTTTTGGTTTTTTTGAAACTTGATTTTTTGCATCATATCTTAGGTTTTTTTTGGATGCATGGTTTCTGATTTGTTTCTGTTCTCTAATTGTAGGAACGTTTCTGTTCTCTAATTGTTTCTGTAGAATTTGCAGGTCTTTGTTATGAGAAAGAAATGATTAGAGCTTATGTAGCCCTGGTGCTTCTTTTTTTTCAGATAATTGATTTCTATAAAACTTGTGATTAATTTTTTTAGCTCACAATTTTTGACAGAATTCATATATGCTTTTCACATTTAGTTTGAGACACACTATCTTTTGATTTTTGGAATTTAATGTTGTATAGTAAGTGGTGAGAAGCTCAGCTTTGCCTCTGTGTCAAAATCTGGGACAACTAGTGCAAGAAAACAAAGCAAACCCGACTGCTGTTATCGTGCGAAGCCTTGATTGTTCCGATTGCCGTTTAACGTGTATGGATTAGTCATAATAAAAATTGATGAAACTTCCAAAAGAATTAGAAAATTTTCATTAATTTTCTTTTCAAATTATTTCACACGCTATTTCAGGCACAAAGTGACATATTTAGCATATTTTAACATTAATAAATTATTTAGCATAATTGATTACCAACTAGCAGCCTCAATTCCTCGTGGAACAATTTGTGTTAATCCGCCGCTTACGCGTTAATAGCACGGAGTGTATCGCGTTTTACTTATCGCAAAAGACCAAACCGGCAATTGGTAAACCTTCGTAACTTTGCAAAACCAATTACAGGTAAAATATCTTTTTAAATTCAAGCTCATGATATCAATAGGTTTTCATATGGTTTTTAAAAAATCCCGTTGAAAATGGCTTGTTTAAAAGTCGAAAATTGTCTGGACAAACAAAACCACCACGAGCGCAAACATTCCGCCTCTTTGTTCGCAAGTTGGACCAAAAACAACAATTTCTCTCATGCTTTTGCGTAGCATATAATTAGTTTTGCAGTCCTGTTTTCTCAACTAAAAAAGGAAAAAATGGGAAGTTTAAAAGTCAATTATCCCGATTATGGGTTTCGTGAAGGTCCCTGAATTTATCCATTAATGGTCACAAATTTTAAGCAAAATTGTTCATTCTACTTTTAATCTACTATGCTGTAGTTTCGCCATAATGATCTTTGGGGTCAACTATGTTTTTTGAGAACTTCAGCCTAGAAAATATACAAAAAAATGCTCGCAATCCTAGGAAAAACCTTGTTTTACTGAGAAAAACTGTACAGCTGGCCATTAACTGATCAGAAATCGTTCTGAAGTTATAATTTAATTGATTTTTCCAGTTTTTTGTCGCCTTCAGTACTAGCAAACTCAAATAATTGTAGAATTTTTTTGTTTTCATTTATCCAAAGTTCGATTACTATTGTTGTTAACTTACCAACAGCTTATCTTCAAACATCTCTGAAATTCCTCAATTAGAGACGCTTTTGTTTGTTTACGAGGTCAACTGATATTGTGACTTTCGTAAGTGATTTGATCAGGCTGCGTTCAAAATTTGTCGTCCAATTTGGTAAATATTGCCTATTGGTCTTGAAATTTTATTATTTGATGTGTAAATGAAATGAACGGAATTGAACAAATTTAGTTGATTTTGATATCTTCTAAAATCAGTTGCTACTGTAATTATAATTCGGGTATCTAAAGTTTGGTATAGAGATCACAAAATGCGCTTGTTCATTTCATTTGCGATTGTCGTGGTGCTTTTAAAAATTAGTCAATGCGCAGAAGAACACACGTTCTACGTTGTTCTCGATATGGATGGAGATCCCTACATTGTTGCCCGTGAACCTCAAAGTTGGGTGGCTCAGGCAACCTATAGTATCAAAATTGAAGAAGAAGGCTTCGCCTATCTGACTTTGACATCTAACCCTGACTATCCTGATTCAGTGCAGGCGTATTGCGCAGGTTACCTTGAAGGGTTTATGACTTATAAGCAGATAAACCAAACATTCATCAACCAGAACGTCGAAAATGTGAAGCCAACTGGAGATGTGAAAGATTTTATAGTTGATAATTTCAATTACGTCAATAAAATGATCGAGGAAAATTCCACTACTACCTACTGGTATCAAATCAGCCTGCTGGTTTACCAAATCAAAGGAATGGAGGATGGGTATTTGGGTTTGCCTGCCAAGGTATCCCGAACCATAGACCCAATTGGTCTGTTCTGGATCTACAACTGGCTTTGGACCGAACTGACAGACATCCAATTGAAGTATGCCAGGGGAACATCGACATTGGGATCCGGATCATGCAGTGCCATGATCAGATACACAGGCGATGATCTGATTGCATCTCACGTGACCTGGACAGAATACAGTTCAATGCTCAGAACGATGAAAAAGTACAACCTGAAGTTTAAGAAGAACCCCACGAGCAATGATACGATCCCTGGCTTCGAGATTCTAGAAAGTTCCTACCCGGGAATAGTACACTCCGTAGACGACTATTATGTCACAAGCGAAAAGCTCGTCGTTATCGAGACTACAAATTCGATTCAAAATGACACTCTCTACGACTACATCGTGCCAAATGGAGCCGTTCCCTACTTCCTACGAGTGGCATTGGCTAATCGTCTCAGTGAGTCGGGACTCGACTGGACTAACTATTTCGCGATGTACAACTCGGGAACCTATAACAATCAATGGATGGTGGTAGATTATAAAAAGTTCACGCCTCATACGCCAATTGGGCCTGGAACCCTTTACATTCTGGAACAAATGCCGGGTTTCGTTGTTACCAAAGACATGTCGGAATCTTTGGAGACCGGCTTGAATGCTTGGGTTAGCTACAATATTCCGGCTTTCCCTGAAGTCCAAGAAAAGAACAATTACAGTACATACATCAATACGTACGGACCGTTTTTCTCTCATGATCACTCTCCTCGAGCCAATATTTTCAGACGAGGATTATCAAATGTAACTGATTTGAACTCAGCTATGTCTCTAATGCGGTACAACGACTACCAGAACGATCCGTACGCGAAGGCAAACTGCACGCCGTTGGCTTACAGTGCAGAGAACGGCATTAGTGCAAGATGTGAGTTGAATCCGACAAATCAGGTTTGCGCGATTGCAGCTGAAGCGGCGAGATGTCACGGAGCAACTGATTTGAAAATTGTCGGTATGAGTTTGGTAAATTCGATGCAGATGATTGCTATCAGTGGACCAACTTACGAGCAACAGGAGCCATTTGATTGGTCTAAACAGAAAGACACTGCATGTGATGGAATTTTGCATGAAGGTCATCCGACGAAGTTTGCTTTCGAACCAGTACTCGTTGATCTGTGAAGACGCATAAATCAAAACTTTACTATGTTTACTAAATTTACAGAAAAATTAGCTACTGTATCATATAGATAGATCACATATTTCTTGAATTTTTTTTTCTTTGGAGAATATAGATACTGTTTGATAGTTCGCAGCAAGTTTGGGCACGCAGTCTCAACTCATTTTTAGCGGTAATTTGTGGTAACATCCTGTTTTTTGCCAAAAACTACTCCATATACGCGTAAAAAACATATGAGGCAAGGAGAGTACCGGAACATCTAGTACAAAAAAAACTTTTACACAGTTTTCAAAATGAAACATTTCAGCAGAAGACTTTTCAGGCAAAAAAGAAGATAAAACGAGCTGGAATGTTTACTGCAATCTACTTTGTCCTTAATAAAACGAGCTCATCTAGTTTTTTAAATACCAATGATCGAGTACAAATGAGTAAAATTGCGCTGGTATTTGAGTGCGTTTTCCTAAGTTTTTGATTGGTTTACATATTGTTTGTTTTTTCAAGTTCCTCGCCTGCAATAAGTCTTTGTCTTTAGACGTTAATTTCCTTGTTCTTCCCTTCTTCTTTCAACCGGGCTATCAATATTCCTAATTCTGTTGCAAATTTTTAATTGCCATTCCATCCTCCCGAAGTTGTTTGACCGGGATTCATTTTGCTGAAATTTTTTTTGAAAGTATTCCAATCGGCTCTAGCAAGTTATGGCTTTTTTGAGCACTTTGCACTGAACCAATGTATATTTTAAATTAAATGAACTGCTTATTTGCTTGAATTGAATGATAATTTGCAAAACGTTAAATTCATAAAGAATTCTTTAATTTAAAAGAGTTCTACTTGTGTATTTTGATTTAAAAAAAAAAAACAGAGCAAATACTGCGGTTTTTTGGTTTATTTTGGCTCATTTCCGCTTTTCCTTCTGTTATGTTGGCTAATTCTAAGTTTTAAGCGAATTCTAAGTCATATTTCAGGAACAATTTCATTTCGCGTAGTCAAATTTTTATTTGATCGCTTTCAAAATTTTTTGAAGTTTCTTAAATGTCGTTCGAATCACGAGAGAAAGGACTTGAATACGATATATCACTTGACCCATTCCAATGATTACTTGTAGTACCTGATTTCGCGTGGAAAAGAATGAAATCCAGGAGAAAGAACTGAAGACACTTTAGGCCGTGTTTTTTGATTTCTTAAGGAAAATTGATCACGCTTTATTGTGACGAGGATTGTCTTCTAATTATTTTTAAGTTCACTTTAAATTAATTTGCTTAAATGAGCGAAAATTGAGCTCTTCATTTAAAATAGTGCAAACGGCGTGGAAAACCTGTGCTTCGCAGGCATCCAAAAAATTCTGACAAACCTTATTATAGACATAGTTTATAAATCTTTCCATTACAACTCGAATCTTCACTAAAAAATTTTCAATAAAATATATCACTCTACCAAGTAGATGTTTATTATGTTATCTAGTTTTATGTGAGAAAACGGGCGCCAGAAGACAACGCGGATTTCAATAATTTTACCCCATCATTGATTGATTTTCGGGGCAAGTTTTTGCTCTGGAAAATAGCTCTGCCGGTAGTTTAGTGAGTTAGATTTGTTTTTATTCTTAATAATTTTTTGTCAAGTTCTGCCTAAATTAGTAATTGCGCGATAAAGAAAGATCCTTTATCCATGTTTTTGTTTACATGGCGTATTAATTTTTCGATGTTTAGAGATTACAAATAATAGTGATTGCCAATGTGATTGCTATTTAATGAATAATGTAAATTTGAAAAATAGTTCATCTGGGTATGATTTTTGATTTTAGTATCACATTGTCAGTCGTTACACCCGAAGCTGCTAAACGACCCAACTTTCAATATCGAATCAATCATCAAGCGGATAAGAGGCTTCCGATGCCACACGAGCGAAGACCTTCTCGTTTTGCTTCAAACGCTCAATTCAGAGCTAAGAAAACCGAACTCAACTAAGCCGAAATTAATCGTGATTGACAGTGTTGCCAGTCCATTTCGAGTAAGTCATTTCGAGTCAGTGAAGAAACGATGCAACGCAATCGCTTATCTCTCTTGTCTGTTGGTGCAACTTTTGAACTCGACGGGAGCCTGTATAGTTTTGAGTAACCATATTACGACAAAGTTGGTAGACAACTCTCAAGGGGTGATAGTCGGAAATTATTTTGTGCCTCTTTTGGGTGATTTTTGGGGAACCACAGCGCATGTTAGAATTCTTTTGTCCGAAGACTCAGTTGGCCGAAAGATGACTGTGTTCAAAATGATGTCTGAAAAACGAGAACTCGAAAATGAAGCGTCTGTTTTTCAAATTACTAAAAATGGAATTAGAGATGTTAATCTGAATTCTAAATGAAAGAATTGGCTTGTCTGTTTGTTAACTGTACTACAGAGTTTCAGTAAATTTATTATTTGATCTTCTACTTTTTTTGTCAACTAGAGGTTGTGGCCCAGATTGAAAAATACAGGCAAAAAACAATGTTCTAGCGCATGCTAGTGAGAATTTCGAAAAGTTAGCGAATAGTTTTGGCTGTATGACTGTCAAAACGGTTTTCGTATGCCGTTTGTTAAACTTGACCCAACTTTGCAAACTTTTTGAATTTATTGCAATTTTTGCAACTCGTAGAAACCAGGTTATAATGTTGAATCAGAACTTGCAATAGAATTTTTTGCAGAGTCCGTAAACTTTCTCACATTAGGCTTCATTTTCAGATATATCTAATATGCTATCTAACTACAACTAACCAATTCTGAATTAATCAGCGTGCTACCTGTCTTCCGAGAAAAGAATATACTCCAATTGATCTCTGTCTTTGTCTTCCGATCACCAAAGTGTCCTCCTTCAGAGAACAACAAACTGACCAATCAGAATTTACCAAATTAGTTTCATCTGTAAATCTTCACTTTTCATTCTTGCCTCTAAAGGTCACAACATTTTTACTTTTCTTCCATTATTCAGTGCAATATTTCGTATGGTCTTCTCTATTGTGGTCTTCGTGTCTTTTATTTCAATTAAATCGCATTATTCACTTCTTGTAATTCTAGTTTAAAACTAGCGATCTAAATTTTTAGCTTCAATTAGCTTAGCTAGGCTTTTAGTTGCTTACAGTTAGCTATTTCGAGTTTTGTTTAAAATAACTTAAAAATTTAATAAACTGTTCAATTTTTTAATTCTAAATTACGCCCTGCATTTATTTTGAGACTTTTACCTATTATTTCGCTCGCCATTGTCACAAATCGATTTTTTTAAAATTATTTGTGCAAAAATTTAAACTCTGCAATTTTAATGGACGCCTTGAGAAGTGAACTTACCTGTTCAAAGTGCAATCAACTGTTTAATCAACCAGTGACACTGCCGTGTCTCCACTCTGCCTGTTGTGCATGTGTGGACTCGATTGTGAAAGAAGCGGTCGAAATCTTAAGTAATGGAGGAGTGGGCGATGAGAAAACGGACTGTGGATCTGAAAAAGAGAATGCGTCTGGTGGTGTAGGTTAGTTTGTTTTGTTGCGGATTCGAATCAAAGATTTTTTTTCTCCAAGCATTCTAGTCTGGACAGGGTTTTATGTCGCGGGCAAATTCTGGAAATACCGTATCTCGGTTGCGGTGCTTGAAAAATAAGTCGCAGACTGAGTCTGGAAATACCGTATCTCGGTTGCGATAGTAGAAACATTAGTTTCAGACCATCAAATAAACATTTGTTTGTTTTATGCGATCCCCTTGAGCAATTCATTTAAATACTCGAGCATTTAAATGAATTACTCAAGAGGATGGCATAAAAAATACTTGTCTCAAAAACAACTAACAATAGAATTTTTGTGAAACTATTAAAGTGTCAAAACTAAAGTATCATACGAGTTTTATCTAACTGCATCTTCGCTTTTGATTCCTTTGCAAACCGTCGAAGCTAGTTTGGTGCATAAATGGCTACCCATAAGATTGGTAATAGGTCAATCATCTAAAAAAAACAGTTGTTCTAGAGCAAACTTTTTTGTGACCAATTTTAAAATCTCTAAAGATGGAAAATATGCGCCCAAATGCTCAGAACATTTTTCAATAAGAAATATGCATTTTTATAAGCTTTCAATTATGATCTCTTAACTATACCCTCACATTGCTTTGATGTGGACATTTTAATTTCAAGAAGCTGATTTCGTGCTTAACTGGTCGGCGTGTGCATGCATAAAAGTTTCTCTTGACAGTCACTGTGGCTCTCATAATTGAATTGATCAGCGTCTATCTTATCCGTTCCAGAATATTAACACATAATTAAAAGCTGGTTTCGATTGTTGCATGTTAGCACGCTCCATTTCGTATGTTGAGCCTGCAGATGGCAGTATTTTTTAATCTTACAGTTTCAGACTCTACCAATTTTCTATGTAAAGTTGCAAACAAATGCTATTTTTTAGGTAATATTGCTATATCTTGCCCTGAATGCAAAAATATAGTCAAAGTTCAACTGGATGCTGTAAAAAAGACACATGGGCTAGATTTGAACCGACTTCTGCAGAACTTGGTCGAAAAACACAAGAGTGCACTGGGTGACCAGGAAAGCTCAGATGGTGTCACAGAAGTGTCAATTAATGGCGACAGCAAAAAGAGCAATGAATGTGACGTCATGAAATGTGACATGTGTGAAGATGAAAGTGCAGCTGAAGTCGCTTCTAAGTTTTGCGTGGAGTGCAAAGTGCTGTACTGTGAAACATGCTTCACTCAGTGCCACAGAATGAAAGGACCATTTGCCACTCATAATATCCAGGTTTTTTTTTTGCTGGAGTATTGGATTGATCAAAATATAATCAGCAAATTTTAACCCAACCATACCGTTTAATAAGCTTAGTTTTTTTTGCCTTGTTAAATTTGCTAGAGCAAGTGTTTTTACTTTAATCGGGAACTACACTTTTTTCCCGTAAAGAACTTTTATTACAAATTTGTAAAAAAAAATTAATATTGCGTTATTATGGATTCTTAGCAAATTTTAGGTCCCTTCCCACTTAGTCTGGTGGTCGTGCGGTCGCCTTTGCGCCCTTTAGTCCGAGGTTTGAGTCCCGAACGGACCTCCTTTTTTCAGTATCTGAAATTGAAATTTTTTTCCGGGAAAAATTGAATAGTCGGACTATAGTTTGTCGGCTTAGTTGCCACACCAAGTATTTTTTGACCTGTAAGCAGTTATCCTTGTAGTCTCAATTGGTAAGTTTTCCGTTTTTTTTTCGCTTAGAATTTTTGTTCGGCTCAAATGGTTTCAGCTCATGTTTTGTCGGTTGTAGTAAAAAAAAAGTGACAAATTCAAACAATTTAATCCCTCCATTTTTTTATGACAACGTTTTTTGCTTTGTTTTTTTTTGGATCAATGGGCTTCTAACGTATTATAGGCTTAGTGAACCCTCGGAAACTAAAAAAAATTATTTATTGTTAGTGACTGTATTTCTCGTCTGTTTTTCTGAATTGAATTTTTCGTATTTCCAAAACAATTGTTGATTTTTTTTTTTCAAATTTTTTTACTCAGCTATTTCCATCTCACTTTCTATTTGGTAGCTTGCAATGGTACGCTTTCTTTGGATCGCAAGTGATGCGAAGGTCCGCTTTGCCTGTGTGTTATGTTTATATTTTTAATTCTGTTTTTAGTATTAAGGCGAAAATCATTCGGTTTTGAGAAGTTTTCTATTTTGACGAGGCGTGAAAATCTAGCAAGGTGAGTTTTACCTTAAAACAACCGCGTCCTCTTAACTAAAAGACACTTGCATTAGTTAAAATTGGTATGCTTTACTTCTGCAACCTACTGCTATGTATTTCAGTCACCGTCGGATGCAAAAATATCTCTCAGAGAGTCAGAATCCAAACCCAAATTGTCCAACAATGACGTCATGACATGTACTGTGCACGACAATGAGAAAATCAACATGTACTGCACGCAGTGTAATGAACTTATTTGTGCACTGTGCAAACTGGTGGGCGTGCACAAAGAGCATCAGGTCAACGACCTAAATACTTCATTTAAAGGTCAACAGGGTGCACTTGGAGAGAAGTGTGAACAATTGACTGAAGTGTCGGAGAGTTTGATTGCGAGCATGGAAAAGCTGAAGGAAGCAGAAGCAATATACAAGGTTGGTTATCTGATATAAATATGCGTGCGAATCCCATAGTTGTGGTAGACTAAATTGTCAAACACCATAGTCTTAGTGGAAGTTTTTTTTTGTTTTCGGTGGAGCGGTGTTGAAGTGGCTAAGTGTCTGCCTCTCAATCGAATGTTTCAGTAGGGGCATATAAACCAGCCGAAGTATAAACTAACTGCCATATAAACACAACTTAAAATACAGAGCTGTAGCAAAAATTGATCCAGAACTTATGCAAAAGTTACGAAAGTTATGCAGATTTCTAAACAATTGAAGTAACTTTCGAATGGTTAACATACTGTGCTCATGTTATTTGTCGAAGGAGTATTTTTGTTTTTGCAGAAATCAAAGGACGCAACTGAACTTCAAATACTGGAAGAATTCGCCGAACTCCGAAGTCTGTTAGAGGACAAAAAACGACACATGCTCTCGTCACTCCACGAACACTTCCGACTAAAAATAGGCGAAGTGGTTGAGTGTAGCGAGAGTGTGAAGCGCACACTGCAGTCTACTCACGCAGTGCTCAGTCTGTGCATGGAGGCGATGAGAGAGCAGGATCAGACTGCCTTTCTGCAGGTACATTGTAAATTGCAAGCATCGTAAATTGTAAATTGAACTTTTTTTTAATTTTGGCTTATGAAGTACTTAATTTTATAGAGCTTTATACAATATAAATCATCATTTTTACTCCAGCGGAGTGTCGTTTGTTACTACAAAGCCACTTTTTAACCTGAGAAGCAAATATTGGTGCTACTTTTGGAGGCACCTTTATTGTCACAAAAGTGACGGAAAGACCGGCTACTCCCCTGTGTGCCACCTATTCCGCTGGTCTCATTTTACCTTATCCGACGGCCTTCGAACATTTACCCTGCCAACTTTTCACCTATTTTTGGATTTAGTTCTTATGTCCAAAGTTACCCTACCAAATCTGAGATTAAAAGTTTAATCAAAATAACTCGTAGTGGTGATCTCTCCAGCCTTAGCTGCTAAGCCCTTTGAAGAATTTAATTGTGGCCTTAGAAAGTTTCCAAGTTTTGAACGTTTCCGGGAAACTGTTTCCTTTTTTTCGAAAATTACTCTGGCCAAAAATCTGAAAGCAAATATTCAATCGCAAGAACAATTGTTAGGAATCCTCCCTGCATAAACGGTACGCCCCATTTTTTGTCCAAAGACGTTATAGCCATAGAAATTGTCCATTTTTTGGAAACTTTTGTCCGAAGCTATCCTGTCACAACTGAGATAAAGGGTTCAATCGAAAGAACAGGTGCGAAAAGACCATATTTTGACCGTTTTTTGGAAAAGTTTTTTCTTGAGAACTACGGTACCAAATCTGAGATTAAAGTTCAATCTATGAACAAGTTGTTGGGAGTATCCTCTGCATTAAAGGATTATCTCAATTGCTGCAAGCAATCAGCTTGAGAATTAAGTTTATGGCCATTGAAAAATTTTATGGCCATAGAAAATGTTCAATTTTAATATTCTGAAAGTTTTTCTGGAAACTTTGCGAGTTTTCCCGAAAACAACCTAGCCAAATCTAAGATGACGCGCTTATTTGAAACATTATGCGCTAAAATTTTTGTCTTCCTAGCGGCTACGCCCTAAATTTTGTATACAAGCAATGTTGTCTTTTTTGAAAATCTGGGTAGTTTTTGATTTTTTTTTTGATTTTCTGGAAACTACGGCTGAAGAAATTAGATCGAAAGAACAAGTTGTAAAGATATTTCCTACACAAGCAATTTACCCCAATTTTGACAAGGAATCTTCTGTGGATTTAGAAAATTTGACCAACTGACCCTGTTTTTGGAATTAATTCAATTTCTCAAAAGCGACAGTGCTAATTCTGAAATAAGAAAATATGGAAATTGGGATTTTTGATTGATCTCCCCTGCAGAATTTTTTCTCCGTATTTAAGGGGAATCAGCTACGGACCTGGTAAATGTCCAATTTTTGATTTTTTTGACACATTTTGAAAAATTACGCAATACCTTTCGCATCTGTACATTTTCTTAAAATTTATCAAACAGATAATTGCTTTAACTCTTAATCTACCGGTCGGAGGTTCAAATCTTGCACATTAAATTAGTTTTGTTTTTATTTGTTGGCCTTTTTGTTGAAAAGGAGTAGCAATGTAGGAGCAACTGTAGCTGCTTTATTGGTTGCTAGTGTTGGTTAATTTTCTAGCGATTGCGGCGCTGTTATAAAAAGCTGATACTGCCAATCTCCTCGTCAAAGGTTCCATTACGGCACTTAGTAAAAGTTTTTCGTTGGTTTTCTTTTTTTTCTTTAAATTGGTTTTTGGCTCCTTAGAGCTTCATTTTGCCGTTTATCTCAGTTGTGTTTGCAGCTTCGCCGCTGTGTATAGTTAGTATTGTATCTGTAAACAAATTGCTGGAAATTTCGATTTCTCTGATGTTATTTTTCGGCATTTGACCTCCTAAAAACCAGGGCAATTATGTAGAGGCAAAATATGCGACACTTTCTTCTTTTCAGTTTTCGTCTCAATTGTGCGAACGAGTAACTTCTGCCTCCAATGATGCAACTGACCTTGCCCTATCCTGTGCGCAATTTGACAGTTCTGAAGACCAATCTGACGAACAGCTGTTCGTAGACTTTTCTATCGAGAAACGGAATATCTCAAATCTCGATTTTCTCAAAGGTTAGTGGTGAAGTAATAGATAGTTGTTTAGACGTGAGAATAGACTTTTACGAGCTTCTTAGCGACTGGATTTGATAGAGTGTTCTCATTTGATAATGAGTGAGCGAACTTGGAAGCGATTAAAAAACATCCAGTTGAATAAGTTTTTGATGTAGTATAAGTGCGCTCTGCAATAATGATTGTGCTATGGAGTGTAAAGTTATCTCTCGTAGTATTATTTAATAAACAATCAATTAAATTTTTAATGACTGAAAGTGAGATTCAAAAATGGTCGATGAAACAGTTGAATTATGGTTTCTTTTTTTTTAAGCCCCGGAGCCAGTCAAAATTTCACGAGATCTTTGCGTGTGCAAACCAGACTCGCTCAAACTCAGATGGAACGCAAACAGTCACATACCAGTGACTCAATACAACGTAATTTACAGAAAAGAAGGGGACGAAACGAGAATCCAATGCAGTCCTTTGTTAATTGAAGATGCAAAGAATGAACTGTTGGATTTTTGTGTCGATGATTTGGAACCAGATACTGTGTATGAAGTGTGTGTAGTAGCGGTAAACGGGGCGGGAGAGAGTAGCGAGGATGATTCTGTAGTTTTGCTGAGAACTGCGTTGCCAGGTAGGTCTGTTTTTGTTGCTAATTGTGGATCTTTAAGGCTTTTTGAGCAATTTTACCGAAAGAAAATTTTGAAATAGCAATTTTAACGAATGCAATTTTTGATTTTGGATGTTCATTGGGCTCCTGGTTGAAAAGTATTATGCATATTAATGTGCTTAAATTGAATAATTTATTTTTTTTCACACAAATTAGGGTTATAACGAATTTTTGTATTTTTTTAAAAGTCAATGAACGTAGTTCAGACTCTTAAATGGGTCGCGATAATTTTTGTTTTTTTTTTTCAGGAAAAGTCTTAAAATTATTTCAGGCTCAAATTTACTTTTTCGCGGTTTGACTTCTGATTTCGTCTTAAGTTCAGTTCATTTCCTGTTTTAAAAGGCAGGGTAAACTTCACTATCGAATCTCGAACGCGTAAATTGTGATCGACTTCTTGTTTTGAAAGTGGAATTTAATTATCGAGTTTCCCAGCGAAACAAAAATTTTGCCGACTTCGCAAATTGGGTTAATTTTATCAAAAAAGGGTCAATCATAAAGTATTTCCAGTAGTTCAGTCTATATTTTTTTCTGTTTACTTGCGTTCATCGACTCTTTTCCAACTGTCTGTTGGCTATGTTTTGTAGTTCCAAAAACGCCACAAGTAGAGGAAGAAGACTGCGAAGTGGTGAAGAATAGCATCCTGTTCAGATGGAGAGCATCCCTGGATGTGAGTGGAATGAGTTCAAACTTGTCAGAAACAACATCTAGTGATGCAGCTAGAAATGGAACTGCTTCATTGGTCACCTTCGTCGTCGAGTTTAGAGAAGAGGTGAGTCATTCTATTAGGAAGTGGTCGGATATAGATTTTTATATAAAAAATTAGTCGATTGTATCGGCAATCAGAAAATTATGGTCAAGAAACAACTTCTGATGATTTACAATGATCATCATTTTTTTTTGCAGTCTCTGTATTTCTCAGTGTTTCTGAATTTACATGTTAGCAAAAACTTTCCACGTTACAGCAGATGCCTCTTTTGACTTGGCGTAAAAGGCAGAGAACATGTGGACCAAGAAATTATTGGATTTATTTTATTTTTTAGTCAACCAGCCGGAGGCCTAACCCGGAGGTTAATTATTTAGGTTGACATGAGCGCATATATTCAGCGCCCTTTAAGCTATGACTTACTTGCAAGAGCTCACTTTACAAATTGCAGCGCACGTGCGATTTGAACCCACAATCATATGATTGCTGGGCACCAGCACTACCGGCTGGGCACCAATTTATAACTGTCGAAATTAAAGATTACTCAGTGGTCAAGATGGTGCCGTAACTTCTTGATCACTAAGTGATTCCTTTTACTTCGTTTCAGTGATTTTGCTATTTACACAAGCAAAGCTTGTGTTATAGTATGAATTCTCTCTTTTTTCCAATCTAAGTCGCAAATAATGTTGCGACAAAATGTGTTCATTTTGAAAGTGTTCGTTTTGATCAATAACTAGCTATTAAGTACAGCCAATTCTAAGGATTTTAACACAGACTATTATATTACAAATAGCACTTTACTTTCATGGTATCATGGATCTGTAGCGTAGAAGTAGGGAAGGACACCCGCAACAAAGTAAGAGGGTTCTAATCTGAGCAAGGTCGGATGCTTAAAACTTTTTCGTATACTAGCTAAAATGCGTTCGCTCTGTAAATTGAGGCATGTAAGTTGGTAAATTTCTTTTTGTAAAATTGACTGGTACTGCTAATGCGTCTTAATTGGCTTGCGTCACTTAGCAATTATGTAGACTCATAATTTGCCTGTGTCACTTAAGATATTTTGTAGACTCTAAGTTTTACTCATTCAGTTCTTTTCAGGAGCGTTATCTCTCATATTTTTGCTTGTGTATGCGAAGTGTAACTTCGCCTCTGTGTTAAAAATTGGTTCATAAGTTTTTTTTCGTATGACACCAGCTGAAAATATTGATGTTGAGGTTGAAATTGATGTTAAATGTATCTCAGAATTTTGATGAAACACGAGTTTTCGTTTTGAGACCGTAAGAGTTCTCGAAGTCCACGGTAAAGCGTTTTCATAATTTTGTGAAAAAAAAACATGAAAACGATACGCAATACGACGAGGTCGAGATAATGAAGGTTTTAAGTTGAGAATGAGATTTGTTTAGTCTCAGGATTTTATTCAATTTTTTTCCACAAAGTGTCAAATTCAGAGCGTCAAATTCATGGGTTGGCTGAAATATAGGACTTCATTACACTAGCTTCTGCTTAGTGTGTTATTAAGAATCCTTTCTTTTTTTCTAACCTAACTCGCAAATAAAAGTGTTCACTTATTTGGAAATTTCACTGCAGCATTGGAAATTGCATAGCTCTCTCAGCTTTATTTGTGGCGAGTGTTTAATCTTCTATCTTCTACGTACTAATTGGCTGAGTGGTAACTGTGTGTGAATGTTGATCTCAAGGTCGCAGGTACGAATCTCAGACGCAGCCGAGTTTTTGCTAATTCGAGGCTTATTGATACTTTTTCTTGTACTTTATAAAGCTGCTTTTTGTCGTATTCCCGCTCGTGTTTGCGATGCAAAGCTTCGCCTTTGTGTTAAATTAGTTCTAGGATAGCTATTCCAATATGAATGAAAAATAATTTGAATTAATATACAAATTTAACAGTCTATGAACGAAGTGAAGACATTTATTAAGGGCTTGTGGTTTTTCGATTTAGCGGCTGGCACTTTCAAGTTCAATGCAAATTCGTTTGCTAAATGGACGGTAAATAACGCTCTTCAATACTGAAAGTTGAAATAAAGCGAAAAAATTTCAATGACTTTTAGATTCAAATTGGGGTTCAATGTTTGCATTTCCAACTGGAATACTAAAGCACTTATTGATCCAGTGTTCTCAATTAGGTTACTTTCATAGAAAAATTTGTCAATCATTTACATTTCTTGAAACTGAGTAAGCTTTAAGGTGATATATTTGTTTTTTTTGCAGCTCAAAATTGTTCTGAAAAACTTTTTTAAACAAAATCTTCATTGACATTGTTAAGTGGTTGACGCTTATGTGGGTTGAGATGATTTTTTCCTTAGTTTTTTTTTCAGCAAAAAGTCTAAAATGATTTCACGCTCATATTTGGTTTTTTGCAGTCAAACATTTGATTTTGAGTTCAGTTCATTTCCTTTGTTAAAAGAAAGGCAAACTCCACTGAACAATTAAATTGATAAGCTCACAAAGCATTACTTAATTCTAGTTTCAAAATTATTTTTGTTTTCCGTATTCCCAGCAGTTCAAGCAATTTACCTGTTGATTAATTTCTCTCTAAATGGCTTGAATTTGAGAAAAAAATCCAATCACAATCAATTCTTAACTTTCAAAGAGCTCTGACTTGATATTTTTTTTCTTCGAAAGTTAAATCAATTTTTTCGATGAATTTTTGTTGGTTCGTCGAGTTCTTTTGCACTTTTCCAACTATCTGTTGGCTGTGTTTCTTTGACTCTGTCTTTGTCATTGCCCACTAAGTATTGATCGATTTTGAAATAGCGTGTTTTTTCACGTGTCAATGAAAGTTTTTTCATGAAAAGTCTTAAAATTTGTTTATGCTTTAATTTTTTTGGTTTGACTCTTGGTTACTTTTGATCTTCATTTGAAAGTCATACGCTGAAAGAAGGGCAAATTACGCTCTTCAATTACGAAAAGGGTAATAGCGCAAAAAAACAGAAATTTTGTGGTGTTCCTGTGGAATAAAAAAATACTTATTGATTCAATTTTCTATATTTTGGTCAATTTTGAATTTTGATAAAAAACATTATTGAAATTCAAAGAGCTCCAATGCCCATTTTTTGTTTTTATTTATTTCGAAACTAATCAGTCGTTTTTTCTCGAGATCGACTCATTTCCAACTATTTTGGTTATATTTCATATGTCATTTTTTGGATTAAAAATGCTGTTCAGAGTGACGATGAGTGGACTATAAGACGTCTGATGGAGTCGACAGAGATGATGCTGAGTGAACTGAAGTACAACACCATGTATGTGGTGAGAGTGAAGGCGGTCTCATCTACTGGGTCGAGTGCATACTCGCGTGATACACTCTTCACTACATGGCCACTGCGTAAGCAACATTCCATAGTTTCAGTTTCGCCATTTTAAAATCTATTCATTGAGTATGGTTTATCAGACTGTTAAAGAAGTTTAAAATTTTACTTTCACAATTTTGCAAATTAAAACATCTTACCTTATTGTTCCGACCACTTCACTAACTTAAGGGCGCGATATATGACGTGGGATGATTGTTTCCCCACGCATAATGACTGTCTCCAAGAAAGCTCGTAGGCTTATCCATTACCCTTTCAGTCTTGATTAGGTTTCCTAAAAAAAACGTTGTGTCGAGAATTACTGGCCTGTAGGTTTTCAGACTTCAGTAGAAAATTTGATCAGAGGCTGGCCTCCAAATAGGGAAGTAGAGAAGGACACCCGCAACAAAGTAAGAGGGTTCTAATCTGAGCAAGGTCGGATGTTTAAAACTTTTTCGTATACTAGCTAAAATGCGTTCGCTCTGTAAATTGAGGCATGTAAGTTGGTAAATTTTTTTTTGTAAAATTGACTGGTACTGCTAATGCGTCTTAATTGGCTTGCGTCACTTAGCAATTATGTAGACTCATAATTTGCCTGTGTCACTTAAGATATTTTGTAGACTCTAAGTTTTACTCATTCAGTTCTTTTCAGTAGCGTTATCGGTCATATTTTTGCTTGTGTATGCGAAGTGTAACTTCGCCTCTGTGTTAAAAATTGGTTCATAAGTTTTTTTCGTATGACACCAGCTGAAAATATTGATGTTGAGGTTGAAATTGATGTTAAATGTATCTCAGAATTTTGATGAAACACGAGTTTTCGTTTTGAGACCGTAAGAGTTCTCGAATTCCACGGTAAAGCTTTTTCATAATTTTGTGAAAAAAAAACATGAAAACGATACGCAATACGACGAGGTCGAGATAATGAAGGTTTTGAGTTGAGAATATGAGATTTGTTTAGTCTCAGGATTTTATTCAATTTTTTTCCACAAAGTGCCAAATTCAGAGCGTCAAATTCATGGGGTGGCTGAAATATAGGACTTCATTACACTAGCTTCTGCTTAGTGTGTTATTAAGAATCCTTTCTTTTTTTCTAACCTAACTCGCGAATAAAAGTGTTCACTTATTTGGAAATTTCACTGCAGCATTGGAAATTGCATAGCTCTCTCAGCTTTATTTGTGGCGAGTGTTTAATCTTCTATCTTCTACGTACTAATTGGCTGAGTGGTAACTGTGTGTGAATGTTGATCTCAAGGTCGCAGGTACGAATCTCAGACGCAGCCGAGTTTTTGCTAATTCGAGGCTTATTGATACTTTTTCTTGTACTTTATAAAGCTGCTTTTTGTCGTATTCCCGCTCGTGTTTGCGATGCAAAGCTTCGCCTTTGTGTTAAATTAGTTCTAGGATAGCTATTCCAATATGAATGAAAAATAATTTGAATTAATATACAAATTTAACAGTCTATGAACGAAGTGAAGACATTTATTTAGGGCTTGTGGTTTTTCGATTTAGCGGCTGGCACTTTCAAGTTCAATGCAAATTCGTTTGCTAAATGGACGGTAAATAACGCTCTTCAATACTGAAAATTGAAATAAAGCGAAAAAATTTCAATGACTTTTAGATTCAAATTGGGGTTCAATGTTTGCATTTCCAACTGGAATACTAAAGCACTTATTGATCCAGTGTTCTCAATTAGGTTACTTTCATAGAAAATTTTGTCAATCATTTACATTTCTTGAAACTGAGTAAGCTTTAAGGTGATATATTTGTTTTTTTTGCAGCTCAAAATTGTTCTGAAAAACTTTTTTAAACAAAATCTTCATTGACATTGTTAAGTGGTTGACGCTTATGTGGGTTGAGATGATTTTTTCCTTAGTTTTTTTTTCAGCAAAAAGTCTAAAATGATTTCACGCTCATATTTGGTTTTTTGCAGTCAAACATTTGATTTTGAGTTCAGTTCATTTCCTTTGTTAAAAGAAAGGCAAACTCCACTGAACAATTAAATTGATAAGCTCACAAAGCATTACTTAATTCTAGTTTCAAAATTATTTTTGTTTTCCGTATTCCCAGCAGTTCAAGCAATTTACCTGTTGATTAATTTCTCTCTAAATGGCTTGAATTTGAGAAAAAAATCCAATCACAATCAATTCTTAACTTTCAAAGAGCTCTGACTTGATATTTTTTTTCTTCGAAAGTTAAATCAATTTTTTCGATGAATTTTTGTTGGTTCGTCGAGTTCTTTTGCACTTTTCCAACTATCTGTTGGCTGTGTTTCTTTGACTCTGTCTTTGTCATTGCCCACTAAGTATTGATCGATTTTGAAATAGCGTGTTTTTTCACGTGTCAATGAAAGTTTTTTCATGAAAAGTCTTAAAATTTGTTTATGCTTTAATTTTTTTGGTTTGACTCTTGGTTACTTTTGATCTTCATTTGAAAGTCATACGCTGAAAGAAGGGCAAATTACGCTCTTCAATTACGAAAAGGGTAATAGCGCAAAAAAACAGAAATTTTGTGGTGTTCCTGTGGAATAAAAAAAATACTTATTGATTCAATTTTCTATATTTTGGTCAATTTTGAATTTTGATAAAAAACATTATTGAAATTCAAAGAGCTCCAATGCCCATTTTTTGTTTTTATTTATTTCGAAACTAATCAGTCGTTTTTTCTCGAGATCGACTCATTTCCAACTATTTTGGTTATATTTCATATGTCATTTTTTGGATTAAAAATGCTGTTCAGAGTGACGATGAGTGGACTATAAGACGTCTGATGGAGTCGACAGAGATGATGCTGAGTGAACTGAAGTACAACACCATGTATGTGGTGAGAGTGAAGGCGGTCTCATCTACTGGGTCGAGTGCATACTCGCGTGATACACTCTTCACTACATGGCCACTGCGTAAGCAACATTCCATAGTTTCAGTTTCGCCATTTTAAAATCTATTCATTGAGTATGGTTTATCAGACTGTCAAAGAAGTTTAAAATTTTACTTTCACAATTTTGCAAATTAAAACATCTTACCTTATTGTTCCGACCACTTCACTAACTTAAGGGAGCGATTTATGACGTGGGATGATTTTTCCCCCACGCATAATGACTGTCTCCAAGAAAGCTCGTAGGCTTATCCATTACCCTTTCAGTCTTGATTAGGTTTCCTAAAAAAAACGTTGTGTCGAGAATTACTGGCCTGTAGGTTTTCAGACTTCAGTAGAAAATTTGATCAGAGGCTGGCCTCCAAATTTCATATTACAACAATTTGAAGTTGTGTGCTATTAATGCCTCTCATTCTTGAACTTTTTCACCAAATTCAATCGCTCTTCCCAGAAAAATATCAGGGAATCTTAATTGTGAATTTGTTTTCTTAAATCAATATGTTCGGAACATTCTTTGCTACTTACACAGCAACCGGCTGGCCTTGTTCGCTATCAGGGGCGGATTTAGGGGGGGGGCGGACGCCCCCCCCCCCCCTCAGGGATTTGACCCCCTGCCGACCCAAAGGGTCCCCCCTTTGATACTTTTTCAGAAATCCATTTTTGGCTGACCGACCCTAAAATTTTTCTAAAGGCGCCTTTGGCGCCAATAAATGCTATTTTTGAGGGGGAGCGCGCGCCAAAAAAACGCATTTTTTTTGTCAAAATTTTTCAAAAAGTGCCCAAAAACGGCTTTTTTGACAGTTTTTTCAAAAATTTGCCTGCGGTGCAGAAAATTTTGCCAAAATAAGGGCAAAACAGTGCTTTAGGAATCAATTTGGTCGACCTAAAAAAAAAAAAAAGGTCGTCAAAATTTTGGAAAATTTTTTGAAAATCCGCCCCCCCCTCGAGAAAATCCTGGATCCGCCCCTGTTCGCTATGATGTTTTTGGATTTTTTTTGGTATGAATTTGTCAAATCGATAATTTTTTCGAGAATACCAATGTTATCACCGAGCGTTGGTATTTATTTTCATTCTTACAATGGCTGTTATTTAGAGACCTTTTGATGAAGTTTTGTAGCCTTACGTTCAATTTGGAAAACTTTGAGGCGATCCCATATGCCTAGATTTATAAATGCATCTGGCTTCAGTTTCAAATGAAACCCATATTTTTTAATTTCGGGATTTCGAGTATTTATCTAATTATTAGCTCCTGAGTCGCCGACACTGTTGAGCGAACACTGCCAGGGTCAGGGAAACAAATTCCAGATCCAATGGACCACAGAGGGAGGAACCAGTGAGAACCCGGCCGACTGCTACACTGTAGAATACAGGCCATCGAACCAGGGCGCGGATTGGATTAACTTTGAAGGTAAACCATTTCTTTTAAATCTCATTCGGAGTGTTTTTGTGCGTTTCTTCAGGAAATGTTACTTAACTTAGTAGCAAAATTCATTAAGGGTCATGTGTATATGTTCTTCTTCCCACCACTCTCAACGCACGGTGTTTTTTTTCCGCCCTGTTTTGACTGACTCAAACAAAAGTTCTTATTGGTTCGGGCGGATGGGGTTGTTTACACCAGCAAAGCTTGTGAGATTTCAAATGTGGTGTTATTACCCAAGTAAACGCTTGTGTTATACTGCAAGTTCTTTTTTACGCGAGCGGAGCGTTGTGTCATATTATGAAGATCACTTTTTCCAAAACAAGTAGCAAAAAAGCGCTCATTTATTTAGTGGCATTTTTGCAGCAATAACAGTATTAGATTTTCTTTTGCTTCATAGTGTTATATCTTTGTATCTGGTTTATTAGTGGCTTGTGTTTGAAGATTCTTAAGTGCCCATGGCGTAGATGGGGAGCAATGGTGAAATAGTTACGTCTCCTCCTCTCAATTGAAAGGTTGTATGATCGAGGCCCATAATGTGCTAGTTGCTTGAGGGTGAGGCAACATTACCAAGCCCAGAAAAATAGTCAAAAAGTTGTCTGTAACTCTTAAGCAGCGGCGCAGCAGCGGTTAATCGTGAAAAGCTGAACAGCTCGCTTGTTGGTCGTTTCCCTTGAGGATAAATCGTCTTAACATAAAGATGCTAGGATGTGTGGCTGGTAATCTCCAGGTCGGGGTTTCTTTTCCGGCACATTTTTGTAGTTATACACAGGGGCGGGTTTTTGGGGAAATGGGGTAACGGATGCCCCCACATTAGGGTTTTGACCCTCTCACCACCCAAAGTGAGAGGGTCTCCCTTTTGGAATTGTTTTATGACATCCATTTTCGGGCGAACAATCCTTAACTTTTTTTAAAGGCGCCTTCGGCCCCAAAATATACTTATTTTGAAGGGGTGCGCGCGTCGAAAAAACGCAAATTTTTTTAACCAACATTTTCCAAAAAGTGACCATTTTTGATGGCTTTTTTTGACAATTTTTTTTTCAAAAACTTGCCTGCGGTGCAAAATTTTGGGTCAAAATAGGTTCTTTATAGTGTTCTGCGATTGCTCGAAAAACAATTTGGTTGACTAAAAAATAGTTGACAAAATTTTCAAAAATCCGCTCCCTCCCCTCGAGAAAACTCTAGATCCCCCTTGGTTATACCTTTTCTTTCTTCCATTTTTTAAACCCTTTTTGAGCTACTTTTTGCCGTTTTTTACCTCTGTGTTTAACTTAAGTCGCATATTTTTTTGTTTAATTTCTCTATTAGGTTTAAAATCAGTAGAATTGAGAAGTTGATTGAAAGTTCAAAAGATTTATTCGCAGAATGTTCAACTAGCAAAAATGTGCCAAAAATGAGAAAATATATTCTCTAGCAATTGAGCATGGTGTATTGCAATCAGAAAAAAATTTCAGCTAAACCAGATAAAGCCTTGATAGTTAAAAAAAAAGAAATAATAAAGTATCAGCAATTAAATTATCAGCTAAATCAACTTTTTTAATCTATTCATCTTATTCAAGCAAGTGAAGATCGACTAGAAGAAGAATGATAATAATTGACTTCACTCAACATATCAGAAAAACACAATTAAATTACAGAGTTACATTGAGATTTGCAGGTTAATGTTGACCCAGGGTATGCGTTGTACTTTTTGGATTTTTTCCAGACAGCGAATCATTTTGAAATAACATGATTGAAGTTGTGTATGTGAGTTGTTCATGTGTCGTCAGGTGTGGAGATGACTCACTGTCACTTGAAGGACCTCCTGTATGACACAGAGTACACAGTGCGGGTGAGGGCTGTGAACAGCAGTGGCCACAGTGACTACAGCGACTCAATCATACTCCGCACTGGCACTCCGCCCATCCAGTTTGCACTGGACAACAACACTGCTCATGTCAATTTGAAGGTAAATTTAAATTATAGTTACTGTAGAGAGAGCTGTAAACAAGTGGAACAGAATGAATTAATTGAGAATATCAAATATCTATTTTAAGAAATGCGTCCAAAAGCTATTCATTCTGACAGAATTTGTTTTGAGGTCGCCTGGAATTTCAAATTTGCACGCAAAGTTCCTCTGTTCATTTTGCCTGTTTCAACTTTGGATTAGTGACAAATTTATTGCCTGACGTTTCTCTAGCTGTGAGGACATCCCAAATTCTTCCTATATCGGAACCTAAAGCAACTCACCGACATTACCGATCGATCCTTCAAATTATTTGGGCAATTTATTGAGATGGGTAATAAATTTGCCCGCATTAAACATTGCTGTCAAATACAGTGGTCGTGACATTTTACCTTTTCAGTGTTTCAATGCAGCCAGTCAACCTGGTTTATTTGAGGCTAGTGTTTCTGATTAATTAAGCGTCCGTGGGTCTAATTATGGGTCTTTCGAGGGAACCATATTTTATATGCTTTCTTCCAGATCGCACAAGACGCTAAAAGTCTCAGAATAGAATTTATAGTTCAGTTTTTTATGACAATAATTTCATTTTCGCTCAATAGTTGTTGCTGAATTTTCATTAAACGCCGTCGAATGTGTTTTCGGACATGTTTTCGGCAAATAGAGTATCATTCCAGACAGCATTTCGAAGTTTTTTTAGATGTGGTTTTTTCGAGAGCTACTAAGGTTGTTTTATTTGGACTTAGTGGCTCTCCTTTTCTTTTGTGTCTGCTAGCGTGCAATGCTATTTTGTGGCATCGCAAGTAATGCGAAGCTCCGCTTTGCGGCTGTGTTTTAAAATCAGATCAAAAATAAAATGAGGTGAACTAAAGTGCGAATTTGATCGCTGTTTTATACTCTACTTAAAAAGAATTGTTGTGTTTTTTTAGAGAGTAAGCAGTTAGAATTCTTTGTTTTAATTTCAGATTACTGGCAACACAGCGCAGTATGACAGAGGGGGTGCTAAGAGTAGACTGGGACAGTTAGGGGAGGACTGCTTCCTGGGGGCCTCCTTCTCAGTTTTGGGAGACAAGAGCGTGAACAAGGGCAAGCACTACTGGGAAGTGAAGGTGAAGGTCAAATCAACAGACAGAATAGGTCAGTTTGTTCTTTCAATTTGGCGCTCTATTCTCATTAGTCATCGTAGAGATCTGCGCAAGTTAAAGTTAAAGTCGTTTAACTCAGCTTCCGAGCTAACGAAACTTGGTTCACTGTGTTTCAGTTCACTTCGGAATTAGACTTCAAACTGTGTTCAGTTTATTTTTAGTTTAAAACAGTTAATGCATATATGAAAAATTTCGGTAACGGTTGATGTTTTGTTCAGGTGTGGCTTACCTCAACACTCCTCGCGATAGTCTAATCGGTGACTCCGACAAGTCCTGGGCGATCGGGTTCCTCGCAAGCGAAGAGGGACGACTCTTCTGCTACCACAACAAGAAGAAAAAACGACTCAATATCGAGCTTCCATCGTCTTCGCCTCCTCTGAAATCGGTCACAGTCGGAACACTTTTGGATCTAGATGAAAACTTTGTGGCGTTCTTCATAACAGAGTTTCACCAGCACATTCACACATTTAAGGTCAACTTCACAGAGCCAGTTTTTCCAGCATTTTCAGTCTGGCCAAATGACGTCACAATTTGTTCTGGACTGCAAGTGCCAGATTTTCTTTTGCTGTGAGCTACGAGGTGGAGGTCTATTAGAAGTTGAGCGTTTGCATTCATAGTGATATTTTCAGTGCTATAGATTTAATATGTAGTGCAGGAATCATTTTAAATCTGCGCGAGAGTGCAGGATAGTTTAGAACAAATGTATAGAACTTATCAACCTTCATAAAGTTCACGCAGTTTGCTCTTTGTCTAAGAGAGTAAACTGAAATTGCAGCATGTCCATTGTGGTAATTAAGTGTCAATGAACGTAGTGAAGACACTTATACAGAAGGTGAAATTTTTCCGAATAAAAATAGGCTGGGGTTTCAGGAGCAACAGACTTCAAGTCAAAATTTCGATAAAAGATCGGGATCATTCGCATTATATTTTGTTGTTTTTCCATTTTTTTCATGCAACAGGGTGCTCTTGAGTTCTTCAATTGTTTCATATGCTTCTCTTTGGGTTTTTATTGGGATTTTATTCCTTAATTTTTTATCGGAGACCTTGCTGGAATTAATTTGAACAAATCAGAAGTCAAACAAACTAATTTTTGACTATAACAAAAAATTAATTGACCTTGGCAGCTGATATGAATAGTTGTTGGCTGTTGGCAGTTGGTTCCACATAGAATTACATCTTTAGTCTGCTTGCTTATAGTTGTCTGAGACTATTAGCTTCTCCTATGATGGAAGTTTTTTTGATCTATTAAAGCAACCTTGTCGTTCAAATCGTTGCACGGCTTTCTTTTTTCAACTTGTTTCAAAGAATGTTCTTCTGCCTTTAGCTCCTCGTTTTTGGGTCTTTTGCATAGTATAACACTCATAAAGAATAAGTTTTTGCGCTAACTACCTCATCGGAATCATTTTTTTTTTTCAATAATCACTGATTTATGATACGGCGCTAATCATAGAAACGGCGCTAACTAATCATAGATACGGCGCTAACCGTTGTATCGGAATCAAGAATTTATTTTAAATCAAGGATTGTCATTCATTGATCATACGTTTAGTAGCAGTCACAAGGTTTTGTGTTTATTTCACGAAATTAGATAAGTTAGCTGCAAGCTTTTATTCAAGATATTGGCGGCCAACTGTTAGAGGTCTGTTCAATTTAAATTTCGTCGGTATCCTCATAGTTTTCACAATTGTTAAGTAATCAAAATTACGGCTCTTTTCATCACTGTTTCTATACATGTTATAAAATCATGACAAAAACGGAAGTTAAATTGTCCATTCGACTCTTAAACAAATCGCCTTTTCTTTTGTCATTAATTCTTCGGGTCTCATGAGGTATGTCAATACCCTTGTCATGTCAATACTCTCTTTAAACGAGGTATGTCAATACCCTCCATACCAAAATCTGGTAAAATTGCCTCTTCGCCTCCCCATGTCTTCTTACCATTGGGCTGACTTAGTTTTTTCACTTAGTGGGTAGAAAGTAAGAATTAATTTCGATGAGTCATGGAGGTAGTATGTATGATCAATTGCTTTTGTTTAGATTTTTAACTATGTTTCTGGGGTCATATACAGTGACAAAGCTTAAAAAAGCGATAGATGGGATGACACAGCCTAATTCCAAATCGTTGTCATTAACTGAGCTCTCCTCTCTTTTCGTCGTCATCTTTGTTGATTATTTCGATAGATTCTAAATGGTAGTCATTATCGTCTCCAATAACGAAGCTCTCATCTTTTTTCGTCGTCATCTGGGTCGATTATTTCGATGGCTTCACCAGTTGCATCCACGGGGTCTTCATCGGATAGTGTCACAGGGATTCTGCAGTCAATGGTACTAAGTTTGTTACTCTGAGATTTTTGGTTGTGGGCGCTGTTCCGTGTCTTGCTCGGCTCTACTTCAAAATGAGTTGCGACAACTGACCTCGAATGCTCTTTTTGGACATCAATCGCTCTTACTTGCTTGGGATCTGCAATGGTTTCCGTCCAATGAAAGTTAATTGTTTTTGCTTTTTCTTGGAAGCAACTAGCGCACTGGTTCTGGCTGTGGACGTTTTTGTTGCTGTTTTTGAGCCTGTTTTCTAACTCTACTAACTTGATGTCGGGATTTTGTAGATTGAATGGACAGAACAAAAAGGTCTTGTCGTTTTGACCGTGTAATTTTAGCATTGTCCTATGATGATGATGATGTCCATAGTTCAGCTATCGTACTTGTTTGCGCACCAGCTCGTAATATTAGCAATTGAATAAGGTTATGCTGGATTAAACGATAATCTGCAGCCTCTGCATTTCCTGTCATCATTTTACTCTTCAGTTCTCCGAATCTTTTTTTTGGGTAGTTGTAAGTGATCGTTTAGGCCAACCACACTTGAATCTTTGGGAGGTCTCACAATCCCGCAGTAATTTCAATGCAGTCGGACAACCTTCACACCTTTCGATCGATGCTTTGCGCGTTAATTACAAATTGCTCAGTATGATTGTGCGCTAATTTAAAAGTTTCGAAACTCTTCAATAACGTCTGAGATGGAACACGATTATCTAAAGTTTGCTGGAAAATACTTTATTGGAAAGAAATTGGTATGAATTTACTACAGGTTGCCTTCAGACTCGATAATTTTCAAGGGTTGGGTTTGGGATGTTTTTGGTTGAAAATGGTTGGTATTTTCCAAGAGAAGGGTTGGAGTGGTTTAAGAAAAAATGTTGGAATGAATCTCAGTAGTTTTCAGCTTCTATTTATACTTCATTGCGAAATTTCCCAATTTGTTATAGCAAATAGGAAGTTACTTTTCAACTTCGTTATCTCTCTTGATATTCATTCTTACATTCGTATTTTACGAGTAGAGTCGTTCGTATTTTACTAGTAGAGTCGTTACTATTCGTTTTTCATGAGAAGAGTCTTATTTACCAATACTTTAACCGTTTTACGAGCTATCTCAAATACTTTAAGTCTTGGTTTCCATTTATTTTGCAAAGGGATGTAAGCAGACTGATTATATTGTGGCGGCGGCGTCACGCTTTGTGAACACAATAATTTCTATATTTTTGTCTATTCTATGTTTCTATGACTTTGTGTATTTGGTTTTTAAGTTCCCGGATCTGATGGGTCTCATTAATGTGACTCCGTTGTATCTGTTCGGTATATTCATCCATCTGGGGGGTTTGCATTTTTGCTTTTAAATACTTCGCGGGATCATAGTTTTTGGTGATCAAAGAGGGAATTTGTTATGAAGTACAGTTTCCGTATTGCATGGTAAGCTTCCAATTTGAAGTAATTTACCTGAGGATTCAACGCATAGTTCAAATCCATGTCAAATCCTGGGTTGGTATTTGAGGAAATATGGTGCTCTTTGTCCAACTGAATATGCAATTGGCTATTCAGTTCAGTAGGGTGCAAGGGCTGTCTCCTAACTGTCATTAAGTGTGTAGAATCTGGTACCGGCGATTTAGCCGTTTGTACCTGATAGGGTCGAACTATTTGGGTTTGTTTCTCAATGCGAGAATTAGAAGGAACCAGGGGTATTTTGAATTTAGGAGGGGAAATTCGCTAGGGTGTTAATGCTTTGATTTAGAAGCTATTGGAGCAAGTAAAATTGTGTTGGGTGGTGGTAGAGTGAAGGACCGTGAAGGGGCCGGTCTTGTAGCAGGAGCCGTAGTAGGAATAGCAGTGGAAGTAGTTGCTAGTAGAGTGGTAGTTAGTGGTTGAGATTCCAGTGGATCGTTGGGTGGGAGAAGGGAGATAAGATCCCCAAAGCCATGCAAGTCATCGTCTGGAGTGGAGTCGATAGTTGGTGTCAGTGCATCGGTCGGTATATCCTAGAACAAATTAAATAATTAGACTGTTGGTAGGATGCTCTGTTTTGATTTCTTCGATCAAAACTTGTTGATTGAATGTGAGGATACATGCGATCCTGGTTTGTATTGTCCATTTCCTCTCAAAGGGGTGCCTGTACTTTCTGATCATATTTGTCTTGTTTTTCTTTTTGATCAAAAAAACTAGATGAGTAAAAGTCGAGGTCACTAAAGAAGTAAGAGTATTTTATACGAAGCCGCCAGCAGTATTTTGCCGAAATGTAGTGAACGGCCGTAGATTTTGTGTATATGTAGGGCTTTTTTAATAAATAATAGACCATCCAGTATAAATTTCACAAAGAGAACTGAGGCGAAGACTATTCCATTTTTCTAACTAGAATTTTTTCCTGAATATACGGGTGTATTCGTTTTTCCAAAAGTCAGAATAAATAAGATAGTCTAAACATAAAGTTTGAGTAGAGCCTAGTGGGCCATATGGGTCTGAGAAAAGTTTTTGTGGGCATTGAGAAGGGATCGAGATACTTTTTTCTGTATTCCTTTCATTTCTGAATTATCAGAAATCTTATTCCAAAATTTTTGCATCTAGTGTTTAATTTGCTGAACTATTTCTTTTGCTTGAATGAGATATGGTCCTGTAACCTTCGTAATTTGGGATGTTAATTCAATCCAGGGCTTATCATTGTCAAAATCTAGTTGGAAAAGATATCAGTGTTTATCGGAACAATCTTGTAAGTCTGCCGATTGAAAAGTATGCCGAGTTATTGGATCTACAAATTGAATTTTTTCCTAATACATCATGGGAATGCAATTTTGGCATTGATCCAAAAAATTCTCGGAGAGTGATAGGGCCAGGCAACATTGCCATTGGTGTCCAAGAACATTGAAAGATTTTGAGTTAGGATGTAGCCAGCCAAACGTGTGCTCTCAAATGAAAGCATTAATGTATTGAGGAGCGTTCTAGCTCGCATTGATGGTGTAAAAAATCTAATTCGGCTGTTCATAGTATGTAAAAGCCGATGAAAAGAAATTAGTCCAATTTGGTACTTAATGAGCTTCATAGTCAATTTGACTTGTTGAAAATTTAAGTGGCGGCGAATTTTCACTTGTTGTGACAAAAGTAGAATTTGGTTGGCCGGCATTATGAATAGTTCCCATTTCTGGGGTTAGTTTAACTTGGATGCTTTGCCGGTAAATACAAATTGCACAGTATGGTTGTGCGCTAATTTTAGAATTTCGACTCTTCAAAAACGTCTAACATAGAACACCATTATCGCAGATGGAGTCAGTTGATGGTTTTTTAGTTTCTTTGCACATGCTGCTTAACCATATTGGCAGTTCTGTCTTTTTGAATTGAGGTGAAAACAGTCGAACAGGTTTTATTATGTTAGCAAAACTTATGTACGTCGGACAAAACGCTTGGTAGTAATATAGGGTCCTTTCTACTTTCTATCGCAGAAAGTAAATCTAGTTGGTGATCAAGGAGGTAATTTGTTATGGAGTACAGTTTCCTTATGGGATGATAAGCTCCCAATTTGAAGCGATTTATTAGAGGATTCAAATCCTG